AATACAAATACAGCAAGGGATATAGTGGGTATTTTAAGTTTCCATTGGGAAACAGAATTTAAAAAGTTTTCTTATTTACTGGTACCTTTTGGTATTTAATTACTTGCTTGTTATATCCTATATCTGATAGACATGAGATCCCAACTGATTTATAGCAGATTTTGCTAATTCCTGGTTTTGATTTTTTTTCTCAATTTCTCTTCTAACCAGAGGTATAAAATCACTTTAATTATAAATTTGTGAGAAATTGAAGTCTGTGTGATATCTTGGTTTCCTTACTTTGTTCTTTCTTGTGTGATCTTTTTGTTTTTACTTACCAGTTGGTGAGTTTGCTTTTGAACAAAGTATTATTTTTTAAAAAATTAGGCAATATGCTCTTCTTTTCTTTTCTTTTTTTTTTTTTTTTTTTTTTTTTTGCTTTTTGGGTCACACCCTATGATGCTCAGGGTTACTCCTGGCTTTGCACTCAGGAATTACTCCTGGTTGTGCTGGGATGCTGGGAATCGAACCCGGGTCGACCGCGTGCAAGGCCAATGCCCTACCCGCTGTGCTGTTGCTCCAGCCCCTGCTCTCCTTTTTAATCTTTTGTTTATTATTTTCAGAGTTGGGACTTAAACCTAACCACGTTACATTGTGGCTCCCACCCCCATTTATAGAACAAATAAGAAAGAAATGTACATTATAAAAAGTTAAGAAAATCAAAGGGTATTAGTTTTAAGATCCCAAAGATTAAGCCATAGGATTAGTGACCCCTTCTTAGCACAGGATTTTTTTTTTCCATTCCCTGAATACAAATATTATTAGGTGTGCAGAAAGAGTTGGGAGCTAAGGAGAAATCCATGCCGATCCAGCAAATACGCAGGGAAACTAGGAAGGGAAATAGCGTATTTTTTTCATCATCATATATTTTAGGGCAGAATGTAACCACACATATATGCAAAGGTGTATGAGCAAAAACAATTGGAGCGAGAAAAACTCTACCATCGTGTTCTGACTTGGAGCATCTGGGCCAGTACTCTTCCTACTCTGTTCTGTGTTCACATAGCTATGTCACACAGTCTTCAGAGTAAATAAACGGTTCAGAGCGGTAGTACAGCAGGGAAGGTGTTTGCCTTGCATGTGGCCAACCTGGGTCCCCAGCATCCCCTATGGTCCCCCGAGCACCGCCAGGAGTTATTTCTCAGTGCAGAGCCAGGAGTAACCCCTAAGTATTGCTGGGTGTGACCCAAAAGCAAAAAAAAAAGAGAGAAGAGGTTAGTTGCAGTGAGCAGAGTGGGCTTCAAGGGGGAGCAGTGTGAGTGGGCAGGAGATTGCCTGTATGCTCGGTGGGCAGTGGAGACTGAGGTCTTGAGAGCAGGGGCAGTGGAAATGTTAAAATAGAAGAACCTGAATTACCATGGAGGTGAAAATGGCAAAAGTCGCGGGTGGTTTGGGTGTTGGAAGAGAAGAAGCGGTGCCTGGAACTCCCCCAAGGCTGACCTGCGGCAGTGAGAGGCGCTGGTGGGGACAGGACCCTCGCCCTTTCACACTCAAACAGGCTTGAAGGATCCAGGCTGGAGAGAAGGGCAGTGAGGAGCAGAGCAGATGAGTCACTGTAGGAGGGTGTTTGGGCTGCAAATAACACTAAACTCCTATTCGACTGGTTTAAATGGTGAAAAGAACCTCATATCAGGAATCCCACCATGTGGTTTTCTAAGGATGCAACAATAATCTTTTTATTTTCCAGCCCACTCTGCTCCTTCTCATGGCAAGTTGGCTGTTTTGTTAGACATAAAACTAGATATTCATCTCCAGCAGAAAGATGGCCCATTGCTGTTTATTTAAAAAACCATACTTGCCGAGAGGTGTACAGTTAAACTTTCAGAAACCACACAGCTGTGGCCAATCCCCAGAGTGCCTCCCTGCGGCCAACCCTGTCCACCTCCAGAATGGCTTCCAGACCCCCACACTCACTGTTCCCAACAAGAACGTCGTGCCTGGTTTTGTGCTATGTAATGTCTGGCCTTCTGCATTGTTTTTGAGATCCATATTGGCGCATGGAATTGTGAAGTGTTCATCTGTTGCATGAATATACCATATTCTATCCATGATTGCTGATGGGCATTTGTGCAGTTGCTAGAATTTCTGTGCTACAGCACTGTCATTGTGAGCATCGTATTCATTTCTCTTGCGGATATAGCCAAGGTATGCAGTTGTTCGACGCAGGACTGCTTACATCAGCTTTAACAGATAATTTCCAAAGTGACGGTATCGATTGCACGCCTGCCAGCAGCGTATGAGGGTTTCTGTTTCACATCCTCACTGATGCTTATTATTTTGTGTCATTTCATTTAGATATTGTGTGGATTTATCATGCCGCGGTTCTTAATTTGCATTTTTACGTCGATGGAGAGCATTTAAGTTGAGCATTTTTCATAAATTTATTGACCACTTAGCTATTTTATTTTTTTGTGAAGTACCTTGCCTGTTTGAAAATGTCACTTCCCCCCCCCCCCCCCCCTTTGATATTCAGTGTTTACAGTTCTAGGAGTTCTGAAACTTCTGAATATAAATCATTGGTCAGATTTATTCACATAGTCTGGCTTTCTTTTTTCACTCTTCATAATTTTCTTTTCTCAACAGAAATTGCTGTTTATATGCCATAATTATTTTCCTACCCCCTAAGCATTTTTTTAGTTAAGTGCTTCTGTTTATAATCTCTCTGGTTGTAAAGTTACCAGAATGTTCTATTTTTTCCAAATCTTGCTCGTGTAACTGTTTTTGGGCAGGGAGCGGCCACATCCAGTGATGCTCAGGGGTTTCTTCTGGCTCTGCACTCAGGGCTCACTCCTGGCAGTGCTTGGGGGACTGATGGGGTGCTGGGGCTCGAATCTGGGCTGGCCGCATGCAAGGCAAGTGCCTCACCTGCTATACTACTGCTCCGGTCCCTTGTGTAACTTTTGATCTGTGGTTCATTCCGGAGTTGATTTTTGTATTTTGAGTAAATTAAGGTTAAGGATAATAATGGATGTTCATCCACTTAGCACTGTAACTTAAGAGTGCATTTACTTTGCACTAAACCAGTACGTTCAAGTCTGATTCTTAGATCTTTCATGCTTTTACAATTTTTTGCTTTGTTTTTGCATATCTTTTCATAGGTATTCCTCTCTGATAGTATATATTTAGTTTTGTTTTTCATAATTCTTTTTTAAATGAGTCCCTGATGGTCTCATTGGTTAGCAGTGAATCACTTGACTACAAGACTAGACTAATCAGTGTAAAGGAAAGTGGGGCTGCCATATTGGTTACACTAATTAAAAATTTGGGGCTGCAGCGATAGCACAGCGGGTAGGGCATTTGCCTTGCACGCGGCCGACCCTGGTTCGATTCCCAGCATCCCATATGGTCCCCTAGGCACCGCCAGGAGTAATTCCTGAGTGCAGAGCCAGGAGTAACCCTTGTGCATTGCCAGGTGTGATCCAAAAAGAAAAAAATAAAAGATTTGTGTATCATGTAGTCATGAGTCACAGAAGTTTGGTTACCAGGAATAAAAGTAATAGTGGTTGGGTAGCTGTTTGCTTTGGGTTCAAGTAGCTAAGCATATTTAAAGTTTATGGGCGATTATTTAGTAGTGTGAATGTTTTTGATGCCACACAACTGTATATTTGAAATAGTTCAAATCGTAAATTGTATTGCTTGTATTTTGTCTATAAAAAGTACTGATTCTGGAGAGGGGACAGTTGATTTTATTGGTGAGCTATGAATAAAGAGGAAGAAGTATAGGACATAGGTGGAGAAATTAACTATCAGGTGGAAGAGGAAGACTTTAGGGCCAGAGGTGGGTTTGTCTTCGTGTTTGGTAGTAGGAAAGGGTGAGTTTTCTCTATGGTTCTACTTATTGAACCCTGCCGGAAGGTAGAGGGGAGACAGAAGTTGAAAGAAAGAACACAAGATTTGAAATGAGCAAGTTAGGGAAGGTTTCTATATGAAAAGATTGCTGGACAGTGTTAAAGGCCTCTGGAGTGGCTGTACCTTTTGAATTTTGAATACCTGCAGATTATCAGATCAGTCATAAGTCTGCCTATGTATTCTGCTATGTCATTTCTCAGGCAGTGGTTAGCTCTTCAGATAAAGTCATAAAGAAAACAGAAAGTGGGATTGATGCAGAGCTGGGTTTTTGCCTTAGAGCAAGGCGTAACAGAGACAAAAAGAACTACAGAGAATTGGTATATGTGTGAAGTGAAATGATGAGCTATCCCCAGTAGATGTATACAGAGAGAGCGAGTGAGTCATTTGGCCAGGCCTCAGAGAGGAGGAGAGTGGGATGTCTAGATTGGTGATTTTTGGAGTTTTACCAGGTTTGAGTGATGGTAAGTTTTGTGGGGTGAGTGTGGGTGGTATAAATGACTGAGCTGGCGTAGGGAATCATTGAAGAAAAAGGAAAAGGAGACTTAAGCTATTAGGTCTGTTAGTACTGTTGATTCATAAAACACTGTGGGTTTTCGTTTTTTAACATATTCAAAGCAGAAAGGATGATTTCTGTCTTCATTTTATAGACCTACTTTAGGAAGTAGACCCAGGCAGGTTATTGAGATAGAAATGGCGGAGGGCAAGTTCATTTCTAGTTCCAGCTTTCAGAGTCATTTCAGAGTTCATTGCTTTGCCAATGTGTTGTGTGGAAGTTGGGAGTTTAGTTATGTTTTTGGAGAATAGACTCTTGCAGGCATGCAAGAATACTGCATAAAATGGATTTATGGTAGCCAGTTAGGTATAAGTAAATATGTGTAGGAAGTGCTCTTTAAAAATCTTATTACTGGATAGCTGTGATTGAAACTCTGGAAACTCTTCCCCCTTTGTTTTAGTTTTCCATATTTCCCAACTCTTTCATTTTATAGATTTTTTTTAAGCGAGAAAAAAAAACAGCTAGGTATTATATGGAAATTCCAGAAGCACCGTAGATGTGCATGTGTAATTATTGCATAAAGCTATTTGAAAATGCTGTTCCTTGCTTTTCTTTTTAGAAATGCCCTTGGTGATGGGAAGCGGGCCACTATTCTGAAGAGTGGTTGGACAAAGGTAGGTTTCTTTTGCATTTTACGTTAAGCAGGTAATTCTAGACAAGTTTGAAAAGAAAGTAAGACTGTTCGCAGAATGTAAAATTCGCAAAAGTGCTTGTTAAAATTAATTTAGATATAAAGAATTGGCCAGTGTAGTTTTGATTCAGAGTCATGAGACTAGCCCAGCGGTGCTAGAGGCTGTGTGTTGGGCAGGATGGTGCAGTGGGGTTTCCAGGATACCTTAGTGATAAGCTGTCAATGCCTTTGCATTCCCTGTGGATTCAAACTTAGCTGGAACTGACACCTAACTTAGAACTGTGAGGTTCGGTAAACGAACAGGTTATGTCCGGATAATGTTAGGGGGGTGAATTTGACTATGTCAAAATTCTGTATATTGGAAGACACCATGAATAAAATTGGGAGATAGTGTTCATTCGTATAAATAACATACAGAGCTGTTAGAATTTTCATCCAGAGAATACACAGAGGTAAAGGAAATTAGAAAGAGAAACATGTTAGACCCTGGGTCCAAAAAGCAAATAGGCATTTCACATTAGAGAAATTCTGAATGGGCAGTGGAAAATTGTCTGTTTTCTCCTCCTACTCATTACAGTTGTTCAGAGAAAGAAAACAGACCCTAGAAAGCATAATAGCTTCCAGAGACACCCACTTAGAGATGATTACATGAAACTCTGTGTTACTGTTTGAGTCCTTCTAAAGGGGTCAGTAGTGCATTTTGGTGAAGATGTGCACTAACAGGGTCCCTTAAAGCATTGAGTTGGGCGTTGGCTACAGCCAGCTGGGAAGGTAATATGGTGTTAGTGACGCCTTCCCTGTGCCCCTGGTCGTATTCCTGAAACCTGCTCCTTTTCTCGACATTGTTCCACTTGCCCTGTTTTCCCAGTTCTTTTCCTCTGGGCACTTACCATCATTAAACCCGCTCAGTGGGGCCAGAGCAATAGAACAGCGGGGAGGGTGTTTGCCTGGCACGTGGCCAACCTGGGTTCAATCCCCGGCATCCCATACGGTCCCCCAGAACTGTCAGGAGTGATGCCTGAGTGCAGTCAGGAGTTACCCCTAAGCATTGCCGGGCGTGACCCAAAAAAGGAAAGAAAAAAAACAAAAAACATCCACTGTTAGTATTCAGGCTAAGTTCTTCATTGTGTGTCCTTGGCACAATCTGAGCTCAATGAGGGGAGTGTTGTTTATTTATGTTTGCTTCACTCCTGAATCTGGTTTTGCCTGACAAATTGTACATGGAACAGGCACTCAGTAACAAATATTTGTTGACTCAGTGAATGAATCAATCAGATACTATGTTGCAACTAAAATGAATTAATCGTCTTACGAACATTGATAGATTTTTAACAGTTTTGAATGACAAAAGGAGCAAAAGCACATTAGGGACTAAACAAGTATAATAAAAATTCATACCAATGCTTCTTCTGGGGATTGAGACAAAAGGCGATTAGAGAAGGTGCCCGATTGCATCAGTGTTCTAGTAGTCTTATTTCTCACTAAACAAGAATGTGAAACAAGGATAGTGAAATGGTAATAGTAATTCAGAGTATTCCTTTAATCCCTGTATTTACCTAAATCATAAAAACATCCCTATATATGTTTTATATATTAAAAAAACCTCCATACCTTGAGGTGCTCAGGGCTTACTTCTGGCTCTGCACTCAGGAATCACTCCGGGAGGTGCTTGGGGGAACATACGTGCTACCAGGGATGGAACCTAGGTCACCATGTGCAAGACAAGCCCACTCCTCTCTGTGCTATCCATCCAGCCCCTGCTTTCTGACATGTCTGTGTGCATTGACTTATGATGTGTTAGACAGGATACAAACCAGTAGCCTCATAAATGTCCTAAGGATCTTTTTGGTTTTGGGGGCCACATCCGGTGATTTTTTAGGAAATACTCTTGCTCTGCACTCAGTAATTACTCCTGTCGGGGCTCAGGAGACCATATGGGATGCCGGGTTTCGAACCCGGGTTAGCTGCGAGCAAGGCAAATACCCTATCTGCTGTACCATCACTCCAGTCCCCCTAAGAATCTTTCAATTTTGAAGCATATACTAGTACTCTTTTGTGTGCGTTTCAGTACCCCAGCATCAATACAGCCTTTGTGCCTCATACCACAAAAGTCCAGAGTCCGATTAGATTCTTGAATATGTGAAATGTTTTTTTTTTAATAACTTCTGTAAAGTTTTTGCTTATTCTGTCATCTGTGTAGTTTCTCAACTCTATAAAGAGTCACTTATTTTTCTTCTTCATTTTATCACTTTAGGACACTTTTAAAAATATCTAGTGGTGTTTTTGTTTGTTTTACTAGATGCCAGATACTGTGAATTTTACCTTGATTGAAGCTAATTTTTTCTAATCTTTTATTTTTGAGCTTTTCTTCTGGGTGCAGTGAAGTTACTCAGAAACATAATTCTTAGAGGTTGGGTTTTTTTTTTCTCTTTTGCTTGGGGGCCATACCTGGCAATGCTCAGGGCTCACTTCTGGCTCTGTGCCCAGGGATCAATCCTGGCAGTGCTCAGGGGCCCATATGGGGTGCTGATGATTGAACCTGGACCTGGGCTGGCTGGGTGCAAGGCAAGCACCCTCCCTGCTGTGCTATCATCACTCCAGCTCCATCTTTGGGATCTTATTTTAAGCTTTGTTTAAGTAGGACTTGGGGGACACTTGATAGAGAGCACTAGCTTCTAAGGTTTCATCTTTTTATTTTCTTTCTTCCCTTTCCTGCCCTTTGATTGTTTGCTTCTCTGATGTCTAGGGTTGCACACTTGGTTGTGATGCTTGCACACGATGGTCATGCTCACTGAGGCTTGTGTACTTGGTTACAGCACTCACGCACTTGTTGCCGTGTGCTGAAGGTCCTGGGATCACGTTGCTGCGAGCCTTGCCCTTGGCATCGGCAGGGTACATGCGCGTGACCTCGTGTGCAAGGCAGACCCTGTCACCGCCAGCCCTGTCCCCAGTGCTCTAGCGTTTTCACCTACCCAAAGCAGAGAGTTTGTTCTCACTGACTATTGAGAACGGGGATTTGTTTTTCCAGGCCCACTGTGGTACTGACTGTTGTTCTTCTCAGCTATTTGAGTGTCTCTCTGTCCTGGGTAGTTCCTTCCTGTCCATGTACTGGTGAGCACTGGGCTGAAGATGGGGCACGTCTGCAGATTCTCAGGCTCTCTCTACAGTGCTCTGCCCCCCGAGCATTCAGTCTGCTCTGGCCCTGCTGAACTCCAGGCTCAGTCCTCAGTCTGTTGTCAGCCTGGGATTCTGGGATGACTCCTTTTGTTGCCACATACATAGTGTCTTCCAAGTGTTTCTTTTTAAATGCAAGAGGGTGTAAATCCAGGCCCTATTACTACATCCAAAATGGTAATTTGAACTTGGATTCATTTTTAAAATTTATTTTCAGTTTTTAATTTCTTTTGGGAGCTGTGTGTTTGGGGAGCCACCTCCGAGGCGGGAGTCTCCCCTGAGCACCGCTGGGTGTGACCCCAAAATAACATTTCAATACCACCCCTTTTTCCCCAGTGCCCATTTCCCACACCTGTGTCCCAGGGTACTCCTCAGGTTTATTTTAAAAAACGATTTTTACAACTTCGTTGGAGAGGGAGCCCCAAATGAATATCCTTCAAGTGGGCGCACAGAGGGACCCTCCTAGCATCCTTAGTAGACCTGAGGGGATACCTCAGATGGATCCTGATTGAGTCACAGACCACACGTCAGTCACTAGGACCTAAAAATAGGATCTCTTGATTGGCTAGTCTTTTGGGTTACAGCTGTCACTTCCCCTAGTAACCTTGTTGAAATGAGGCCCCCGAGGGACAGTCTGGCTGTTACTGTGTGAATTAGGGATCTGGTAGCACCTGGAAGGAGGGATGTGCAGCAGAGGAATAGTAGGTGGTTTCTGTCTGTGGTAAAGAATGGAATGATGAACAGAGCCAACTTTCTTTACCGGTATAACAACTTGTGTAATTGGTCATAATTTCCTGTGCCGTGACTTTCTGATGCATTTATTGAAGTTCGTATCTTCCTGGGGGTAGAATTTTGGTTTAGGAGCATATCTGAGAGGTCTCTTTATCTAATACCTTTTGAGGAAAATCAGAGTTTAAACAAATTTGAAATGGAATCTTTGATCTGAGCCTAAATAACCAGACTAGCAGACGTTTCCAGAATTTAGGGTAGGGCAAAGAAAGATCACTGTGGCGGCTGAAGCAGTAGCACAGTAGTCAGGGTAGGGTGTTTGCCTTGCACAGGACTGACCCAGGTGTGATCCCCAGCACTCACTACCTTTGGTTCCCGAGTCCACCAGGAGTCATCCCCGAGTGCAGAGCCAGGAGTAAACGTGAGCACTGCTGGAGGTGGCCCCCAAACCAAACCGAAACGAAAAAGATGCTTGCGGTCGATTGACTTGTTCAGTGAAATCTCGCCTTTCTTAGAAAGGTCATTTCTGGTTTCGTTTATTTCATAGAATCACAGTCATCTTTGTAACGTGGGTAGTAAGAACGAAAGAGCCTTTTACTAGAAAGACCCAGAGAGATCTGGTTTCTGTGGCTCAGTGCATGAGAGGGCCGGCCAGTTCCTGCCCCTGTCTCTTCTAATTTCCTTCTCAAGCCGAAGATGAGCTTGGCTTATGACGAGGTAGAGGAGGGCTTAGCTGACTTACCCAGGTTGGATATTGCTAGTTTTCCAGTAAAAAAATTGTCACTGATAGTTTATGGTCAGTGTATAGATGGGGTAGCCAGGACTGTGGTTCTAATCCCCTTCATCCCCCCAAAAATACCCTAAAAACCAAAGGTATCGATAGTAACAACAATCCTTCTTAAAAACAAAATCAAAACCCCACCAACCTGTAAGAAAGCTGCTCATTGACTCAGAGGTACATGGCTGGCTTTGGACTATTCTAGTCTGTGACCCACACTTAACACATTGCAAACTGACCCAGAGGGGATTGGGACGTGGAGACTGGGAGCTCTGTCATGTGCACCCAAGCTCCCCAATGTGCAGAAGGCTCTGGGTGGTTCCTGATTCACAGTGTATGGGGTTGTGATGAAGTAGGGTGTTGCTCCCTTAAAGTGTTGCATGGAATTAAGTAATTTTTGGGGGTAATTTTTTATATTTTACTGTATTTACACAAAATAACATCACATTCTTTTTTATAGTAAAGAAACATAGAGTAAAAGTTAAATTATTTGTAGATACACTGGTCTCTGGGCAGCTGTTAAAAGTTACTAGAAATATGGTTCCATAGCATTTCACTTAGCTCATTAGGTGACTTTGTTTTCTGAGAGGTACTAACATTTTTTTGTTCCTCATTGATAAGGTCCTAAACTAACATCGAAAGTAATACATCATGTTATAAGCAAAGTATATTTCTTTATTACCTTAATCATATTTTTGAGAAAAAAAATGAAATTTATTTTTTTGGAACAGGGACATTATCGTTATTGTGATGCTCTTTCTATGCTGGGGGAATATGACTGGGCCCTGCAAGCAAACATAAAAGCTCAAAAACTCTGTAGAAATGACCCTGAGGGAATCAAGGATCTAATTCAGCAGCATGTAAAGTTACAAAAACAAATAGAAGACCTGCAAGGTATTTCAACTAAGATTATTTCGTTACAGTCGAATTCCCTTTAAGGCTTTTGAAGGTGGGTTTCTTGGGTTTCTTGGAGGACCGCTTCTCAGATGATTCTGACTTTTTCGTGTTTTGTTATATTACTATAGTCTTCCATATCTACTGTTTAGAATTTCATTAATACTATGTTAATTTGGTAGTGATCTGCAGTTTTTATTTGAAGCAGCGGCAAATTGTTACTTACTCTGTAAAAAACAATAGGCCTTCTAAAAATTTGAATAAAGTTAAAAGTTTCAAATTTCTCCTCCATTATTAAAGTTATTTCTTAAACAAAAAGGACTCTGTTAGTAGAAATGCTTAATGTTTTCCACTAAGCCTGCAACTAATTCTTTAGCATGCTGAAAACATACACAATAGAAGGAGCTCTATGCGGACGGGGGGTTCTAGATTTTTTATTCTGCTCTTGTTTTCTTGCTCTCATTTTCCTTCCTGTAGTACCTGAAATTCCCTCACTCTGCACTTTGAGCTTATAGGTCTTTCCTGCTTGTTTTTTGGGTATTTTGGTGTCTTTCGGGGCGGAGCTGAGTAGTTCTTTACAGATGTTGCCATCTCATAACATGATTTTAAGATTGTGAGCTCCTTGAAGACAGGTACCTCTCATTCAAATCAGTATATTGCTGCATCTATTAATAGACAAGGCTCACTCCCTGTTTTTGCTGACAACATCTTAAGCCATCGAGAGATGTCAGATTGACTTAGGGATATCTCTTTCTCTTCTAACTTTGATGTTCTTACTGCCACTTTAAAGGAAGGATTAAAATATTTGCAGGTAGGTGTTGCCAGTGCACTGATTACTGTGTGTGTGATTGGTTTTTTTTTTCAGGTCGAGCAACCACTCGGAATCCAATCAAAGCCTTTTATGAAAGCAGGTGAGTTGCCAGGGCTGTTCCTTAGCGTGGTTCTGTCATGTGAGTTTAAGACTCCTTGGGTGTGTAGGGGCTGGAGAGAGAGTATAATGAGAAAGGAGCTTGCCTTGTACCCGGCTGACCAGGTTTTGATGCCCGGCACCCAAAATTGTCTTCTAAGTGTAGTCTCTGAGCACAGAGCCAGAAGGTGGCCCCAAAAGCAAACATTTGTGTGTGATTGCCAGTAGCAATCATGGTAAAGTTGGAATGGAAGGGAGAGAGAGCTTTTACCATTGCTGTATATAAGACAGAGTGACCTGTGAATTGCCAGGTATATTTTGCATACTGTTTCCTGAGCTGTTTAGGTGTAGATTAGGTTTCCATAGCCTTTGGAGAAAGAGGGATGAAATAGATGTTAACTGGGTATCACTATACTTGAGTGGGTATCACTATACTTGAGTGGGACAGTGAGGGTACCGGCTGCATTGTTATATGTGTTCCGCTTTACCTCTGTCCTGAAACTTCTTCCCCTGCTTCCCTCTCGGCCCCCAGCTGTTGAAAGTCAGCAACAAAGACATGTGTTTACAAGGGGGAGAAAATCCAATAACTGATGTTCTCTGTTTGCTTAACTGGTGATTAAAACGGATGGATCTTCCCACCACACACTTGAGATGTGTAATGAGCCAGTTTAAAACCAAGGGGACAACATTAGACACTAGAATGTTATTTTTTGATTGTTCTTAAGCCCTTGAAATTCTTTTAAGACCATATTAAAAATAGTTGTGCATAATGTCCAGTTCCAGGTGCAGTTAGTATCTCCGTAGAACTTGATAAACCTAACTGTAAAAACAAAAAGCCAAAGCCGTAGTACCTTGATTTCAAGGACTGAGAGGCAGCAATGGCAGAAGCCTGCTTAGTCAAAGGACGGCTTTCAAAAATGCATATTTAATCAGTGTGAGTAAAAGGATTATTCTTCTGTTCTCTCAGAGCCTACATCTCCACTCTGTCGGCACCTGCATTCAGAACGTCACTTAATTTTGCCGAGACTGGAAAAGATTCCAGAAAGCCTAAGCACACGATGGCAAGTGGTGGTAGCCACAACATAAAGGTAAGCACAGTTAATAACTAAAATTAAAATTTAATTTGAACGGGTAGTCTCATTTCTACAATCGTATTTGAATAATTGTGAAGGCTAAATGTTTTCATGGTATGTACCCTTTTTACCTAGTGATATAAAGAAAAATAATTTTTCTCTTTTGCTTTGGGGCCACACCTGACGGTGCTCAGGAGTGACTCCTGGCTCTGCACTCAGAAATCACTCCCGCTTTGCCCGGGGAAACCATATGGAATTTTGATGATCAAACCCAGGTCAGCCTTGTGCAAAGCAAGCATCCTGACCACTACTATTGCTCTGGCCCCAAGAGAATTTTTTTGTTTTTTTTTTTTTGCTTTTTGGATCACACCCAGTGGTGCACAGGGGTTCCTCCTGGCTCTGCACTCAGGAGTCACTCCTGGCGATGCTCCGGGGACCCTATGGGATGGTGGGAATCGAACCTGGGTCGGCCGTGTGCAAGGCAAACACCCTACCCACTTGCCGTGTGCAAGGCAAACACCCTCCAGCCCTGAGAATTAATTTTTTACTAATAAATTATCTTGGTTACCCCCCAGCTTCTATGTCCCAGAATTTTTTCTGAAATCAGATTTGTGTTTTCAGAAAACTTTCTAAATATTTAGCCACATGGAGCAGTTTCCTTCATATGGCTTTCCTTCACATATCACTTAGGAATGAGTGACGGACAGTGAGCCATATCACCCTTCCGCTTACAGTGCTTTGTTTTTTTTTGTTTTTGTTTTTATTTTTATTAACAAATTATTTTTATTATTATTTTATTTTTATTATTATTTTATAATATATAATATAATTATAATAAAATTATTTTTATTATTTTATTGTCATACCTGGCAATGCATATGGTTACTCCTGGCTGTGCACCCAGGAATCACTCCTGGCGGAGCTCGGGGGACCAGATGGGATGCTGGGAATCGAACCCGGGTTGGCCACATGCAGAGCAAACGCCCTCGTTGCTGTGCTGTCACTCCAGCCTCTGCTTTGCATATTGTCTTCCTCCCTCTTCACTTTTGCAGTCAAAGCTGGCCACCTGGCACAGCCCCAGCCAGCCAGTTCACCTGTGCTGTGCCAAGGTGCACCTCCTGTCCAGATGTCCCAGGCATTGCTGTAGCTTTTGTGTCTCTTTCTATTTATTTTTTTAATAGAGGGCATCCACAATGGTGAGGGGCTTCCAGGGCGCGGGATGCTTCCTGGAGAAGAACGCAATTTGGGGCGTGTTGTGGGCCTGTCCTCTCCCGCTTGAGTTATCTCTGCCTCATCTCTGTTGCTCTCATCACCTGTCGTGCTCAGTGAGCTTTCAACCAGTTTCCCTGGCCCAGTGGGGGGTCACAATGGCCTGCATCGGAATTTATGTTTGCATAGAAATGTATGCAAAGCTCCGCGGATGCTACTGGGTCCACATGGATGTTCTCACCGGGTTTGAGGGAAAAGAATGGATTGTTCGGGATTAAATGGACTGATGTAGGGAACTTTTCAGCCCACTCTTATTTTCTTCTTTACTGTTAGTGACAAAAGTCTTAAAAGAGGCTATCTGCTGAGAGGGGACATGAGGAAAGAGGGAATTAGTTTCCTTTCCGCTGTTTGCTGCCCGGTGGCCTCTTCAGTCTGTCAGAATAGAATTCTCACTGGAAACTGTCAGAGCACATTGTCCATTCATGTCACTAGTGATCATTTTTGTTTTCTGTGAATTTCAGGTATAAGAACCAAGTAGGTAATTTAGACGCATGGATAAATTTTATCCAGCTCTCTCTGTCCTGTCAGTTAGCTGCTGGATTCTTCCAGGCTTTATTTTGTTTTGAAGTCTCACTAATGTTATTTCCACGACTAGGTGGCAGATGAGGCTTTGAACTCCGATGACTGTGACTGCCGTTCTGAATTCGTGCCAGCACCAGGTGAGTTTGTTTTCCACGTGGAAATTGTTGTTGAATGGATCGAATGTGTCCGGAGTGTTCATGCCCTGAGACTAGCACAAGCCGCACTGCTGTTCTCCTTTTCCTTTATAATGCTTGTATATTAAGAAGGCTTTGATTATGTCTATAAAATCAGTACTCGGTCTTCCTATTATTATTTAATAAACTTAAGTTCGGAAACCTAAACAAAAAAAGGAAAACAGCTCCTTCTTGATCTATTCGCTGATTGTAGTTTCCATTCGATTGGTGTGTCTCTTTTTATTTTTTGGCTTTTTGGGTCACACCCGGTGATGCTCAGGGGCTACTACTGGCTCTGGACTCAGGAAAACACCTGGTGGTGCTTGGGGGACCCTATGGGATGCTAGGGACGCGGGTCGGTCACATGCAAGTCAAACACCCTCCCTGCTGTACTATTGCTCCAGCCTCTTGATTGGTATTTCTGAGCATTTATTTATTCTTCTTCTTACCCCCAAATTTTAATGCCCAAATGCAGTTTGCTTATGTACTGTTTGTATACTTACGCTTTATGTATGAAAAATGACTTTTTCCTATCTCTAACCAGTTATCACCAATTGGCAGTGATAGTGATTTTTTTTAACTTTTTTGTATTTTATAAGGTAGTTCACAATATTTGTTTACATTTAATATTCAAACACCAATCCCACCATCGTATTTGGGATGCTTTCATCCCAAGCCCCAAGCCCTGTCCCAAAGCAAAACCGAAATAATATATTTTGTATTGTTTGTTTTGAAAAACTGCTGAAAATGCTACAAAAAAGTAAGTGATAGTGTTTTTGTTAGGAATAGATACTTAAGTCTGATTTTAGCTTATTTTAAAATGCATGCGTTTGTTGCATGTCTCTGCATATAATAAAACTGCAGACAGCAGCACCTCATTTATTTCGCATTCTTGGGAAATGAAGGGTTCCAAAAATATTCTTAATTTTTTTCTTATTAAATATTCTTAATTTCTTTTCTTAATTTTCCAGTCTTCCTTTATACTGTGAGATTTGATGAGAATCATTCCAGATGGGTTACATGCATTCCCTTCCTTCAAATCAGTGTTTAAGATAAAGCTTTTCTTGATAAGTCAGGGTAGTCTACACGCAACAGTTGGGTTTTTTTTTACCTCTTTCATGTTTTCTTCCCAGGGAACTTGCTGTAAATTGTTGAGTTTCTGCTTAGTGATATGCAGTTGTCTTTTTTTCTCCTGCTTGTTTTCAGTATTTCCATTTAGCAGCATCCTGTTACTATGAGAACATACGTGCTTATTGTTTGGGGAAATGGCTTTTATCGGTATTTCTTAGATCCTTATTATCAGGCTAGCACGTTTCAGTACTTTAAATATTGTTTGTCTCTTCATCCCCCAAATACAGGTGAAGAGATTGCTAGATTCATGCTTGCATAGTAGAAATCAGTCTGCTGCCCTTTTCCAAAAGACTTCCCAGTCTCTTCTGTTTTCTGAGGCCAGTTAGATCAACTCAGACATTAGGTCCCCTTGCACAGGTTTTGACAGGCCTCTGCTGTCTCTCCCCAAACTTCCCGGCTAAAGTGCTGTTTCACTATTGCAGTGCTTTTCTCTCTATACATCTGGACACATGTCCCTCCCGGGCTTAAAGCGTGGTGATTCCCTACTTACTGTCAGTGGGACAGAGGCTGAGTCAGAGCTGCAGCATCTCACGTACAGTCCTGTACCGTGAGCCCGACCTGCCTGTGCCTCGTTTCCTCCCTCCCATCCTTGCCAGATGCCAACTAGGGTACATTTAGGTCGTGTTGCTTATTGGGGAGGCGGTGATGGCATTGGCTGGGGGCCTCTCCTAGCAGTGCTTGTGGAGCCACTGTGTTTATGTCTGGGCGTCGAACTGGGGGTCCCGCTCCCAAGGCATGTGTTCTAGTGTCTGAGCCACTGCCTGACTCTCTTCTTTCTTTTGGTGTTTTTTCCCCTCCCCCCCCCCCATTTTTTTTTCCCCTCTAGCGATGTCGGTTTTTATACACAGATTTCAGGAACAAACGCTTTTGTGTTCACAGGCCAGACTCCGAAATACAAAGGAAAACAGAAATCCAGAAACAACGAATTGGAGAAATTCAGGTAATGCTTTTGTTTGTTTCCTGGTACGGGGACCACACAGGGGAGGGCTTAGGGGTTGGAGCATCATGGGGGCTGTGTCACTAAACCTTGGCTTCCAGCACACCAACCATGCACAATGCCGTTTCTCTGGGCTTCAAGTATGTATTTTTACCTATTATGATTATTTCGTCTTCCTGTGTTGTTCTCCTCCCGAGGGGTCAGGGTCTTGGGGGGGATGGAAGACAGTATCCCTATATCAAGTACCAGCTATCTTTTCTTTGTATTGTGCAAAGCACTAAAACCCTTTTCCAGTGTCAAAGGCATGTCTGGAGAAGATCATACTGGAGTAACGCGTTCTTGATTCTGCCTCTTCATAATGGCTTTTTGAGAGTCGTGTATCATGAGATACTGTAGTCTTAATTTTTTGTTTTTGTTTTGGGACCACACCCAGCGGTGCTCACGGGCTTCTCCTGGCTCTATACTCGCGTCACTGCTAATGGGCTCAGGGGACCATATAGGAATATAGGATGCTGGATATGGGGCCCAGGTTGGCTGGGTGAATGGCAAGCGCCTTCCACGCTGTATTGTCACTTTGGCCCTGGCAGTGTTAAAATTTTTAAATTTCAAAATATGTGCTCCAAAGCGGAAAAGAGATTGAAAGAAGTATAAGGGGAAAGTTTCAGGGGCTGAAGAGTTGGTACAGAGTTAGCGGGTCCATGGTCCCCAGCTCTACCAGTGGTCACCCTTGGGTGCATAGCCAGAAGCAGCCCCTGGGCAGGCAGGTGTTGTAGGAGGGACGGTTTCTTGTTTCAGGACTATGTGCCTATTGTTGACCAGAGTATGTTATATCTTGATAAAAATGAATACCAATCTTCCCTAATTCTCACCCCTCCCAGAGCTTATCCTTTAATCATAGGCATCTGATTCCCCCCTCTGCCTATAACTTTGTAGAGAGTTTTATTGAGATTTTATTGACTTTTTTTTTTTTCTGTTTGTGTGTTTGCTTTTTGGGTCACACCTGGCGATGCACAGGGGTAACTCCTGACTCATGCACTCAGGAATTACCCCTGGCGGTGCTTGGGGACCCTATGGGATGCTGGGAATCAAACCCAGGTCGGCCATGTTCAAGGCAAACGCCCTACCCACTGTGCTATTGCTCCAGCCCCCTTTTTATTGACTTTTGAGATTGATTTGGGGAAGAATCCTTATCTTGGAGGAACTTCTGCTCAGGACCTTGTGACTTTCCTTTTTCTGAGTATTTAAAATGATCTCTAGTAAATGTATTTTTTCCTTTATGGGGAAGGGACTTGTTTTCTGTTTTAAAACAAATGCTTTTCCCTTTCAGCTCTAATTCACAAGGAACTTTACCAGCAGATTTGAAGAACATCTTGGAGAAACAGTTTTCTAAATCTTCCCGAGCTGCAAACCAGGTAAGGAGAAGACTTTGCTCAAAAAAATTTTTTACATGGATAAAGTCTAATCACATAATTCTTTTTATTAATTGGAGTGATGTACTGTAACATACGATTGCTAAATGCCAAGCTTTTATTTTGTTGAATCTTTGTGAATTACAAAGCTACAAAGACATTCATAATTGAGTTTCAGATGTATAGTGTTCCAATACCCATCCCGCCATCAGGGTCCACTACCCTCTTCTAAGCTATCATTTATTTTTAGATGCTAAACTTGATGGTTAATGTTAAGCAGATCTGTAACTAGTGGTAAACCCTGCAGAATTGTTTGCTTCCCAAAGTTTAAAATATTTTTTAAAATTCAGTTATTTTAGGTACACACAACAAATAACCCTTATTAAGGACTGTTAGAATGAAGCGTGTTGGAAGCAGTTCACAAACTGCTTTCTACTTGGTAACAGAAAGACAAGTATCTAACAGATGGGGACATCAACATTGCCTTTTTACACTGTTGGATGGAGGCTAAAAAACCATGAAGGACTTTGTAGGAAAGACAGCCTTAGGGTGGGAGCGGCAGTACAGCGGGCAGGGTGCTTGTCATGTGCCTCGCTGTCCCTGCACTTCGTATGGTCTCCCCCAAGCACTGCCAGGAGTGACCCCTGCGCAAAGAGCTAGGGAAAGGCCCTGGGCACTGTTGGGTGTGGCCCCAGAACCAAAGAGAAAGAGAAAGTGAAAATGAAAAGGTTTCCACTTCACCCTTTAATCATGAGACACTTGTTGCTCCTGCACGTGAAAGGAGTGTATTTCATAGTGCGAAGCCTTGCTCCTTTTCTAGACTAAACACCATAGTTTAAAGCTTTAAGAGGACAGAAGAAGAACACCAGCTACGGTTGAGGTTAATTTGGTGAGAATAGAACAATCAGACACATACAAATAATCAAAACTGCCCTCCTGTCCTTGAAACAAACTTAATTCTCAGCCAAAATAAGCAATTCCGTCTTTAGCTCAGGGAACGGCAAGCGTCTTACCTGCTGTGCTAGCTCTGCAGCCACAGTTTTCACTTTTTTTATTTTTTGGGCTTTTCCTGGCAACACTCAGGAGACCATATATGTGCTGAGCTGGGCATCGAACCAGGATGGACCACATGTAAGGCAGGCGTCTTATCTCTTGTACTCTCTTGATGACCCTGAATTTTCACTTAATGATATTTTTAAGTTTTAAAATTACTTTCTCTGCATTGATGTTTTGTGATTTATGATTGTAGTGGTTAGACATGTGCAGAATCTGGGGAGAAGGATGAGATCCCCCAGCAATTTAAAAAAAAATAAATTAATTAAAAAAAATAGAAGCTGTGCAAGGGAAAGAATAGAATGCATGAAGGGTCGCTTGGATATTTACGTGTCTAGCATCAGCTGGAGTTTTAGACTGAAGACGGTCAGCCTGGGTGAAATGGAGATTCTGTGCTTTCAGGATTTCGCCAATATCATGAAAATGCTGCGCAGCTTGATCCAGGACGGCTACACGGCGCTGCTGGAGCAACGGTGCCGCAGCGCTGCCCAGGCCTTCACCGAGCTGCTCAATGGCCTGGACCCGCAGAAAATCAAGGTAAGGCAATCACGACCCCGTTTTTGAGCACGCATACATGTCTCCTGCACAGAGGCAAGACCCCAGGCTGGCTGTGACTTCAGTGGACTTGCGTCTCTGAGGCCTCACTGAGGTGGGGCACGTTGAGTCCAGCCGGGAGGAGTGGGCAGTGCTCCAGCTGCCTCTGCAGTAGTGCTCACACTGGGGGGGGGGGACCTGCTCCTCGCTCTCGAGGGTCTTCTTTGCTCCAAGGCCTGGCTTGGTCGTTTACGAACAAGTCAGCAATGTATGAAATTCGTGATTTGTGTTATTTGTGATTGGAGACTCCTGGTCTTACGTTTTCATCTGGGAAGAATTAGCGAGGTAAAGAAAGGATTTAGGCAAAGGCTGCAGGAAAGAAGTTTTCATGATCTGTCATTGCTACCTACTTAGCCTGCAACAGAATGTCCTTTGAGAATATGTCAGTTATTCTAATGTGTTCAGAACCATGTTTTCAAGGAACTCTGCCGCGGTGATTCTGTGTTTTAAAATGATGTTAGTGATATAACTACATTGTCTTTGCAATATATATTTTCTATTCAACCTGTACCTTATTTTTTTTTTAAATTTTTTTGCTTTTTGATTCACATCCAGCAATGTTCAGGGGTTCCTCCTGGCTCTGCACTCAGGGATTGCCTCTGGTAGTCCTTGGGGGTCCATATGGGATGCCGGGGATTGACCCCTGGGTGGACTGCATGCAAGGCAAATGTGCTCTCCACTGTACTATCGTTCCGACCCCTTTCCTTAATTATTTTGATTAGTGAGATTTTTATTATACCTCATTCTATGTTGTGATTAAAAAAAATGGTATGCTGTATATTGGGCAGAATTATATTCAGCTATTTAACTGTAATTTTTTTGTTAACAGCAACTGAACCTGGCCATGATCAATTACGTCTTGGTGGTCTACGGACTTGCCATTTCCCTCCTGGGAATAGGACAACCTGAGGTAAGATAATGTAAAAAAAACAATACGAAGAAAATGAAATGCAGAGAGTGTAAGTTTTTCATAGAAATCTCTAGATACTTGGGGCTGGAGCGATAGCACAGCGGGTAGGGCGTTCGCCTTACAAGCGGCCAACATGGCCGACCCGAGTTCAATTCCTCCGCCCCTCTCGGAGAGCCCGGCAAGCTACCGAGAGTATTCGATATGCCAGACACAGTAACAACAAAGTCTCCAATGGAGACGTTACTGGGCCCGCTCGAGCAAATCGACGATCAACGGGAGGGCCTTTACCTTACCTTACTTGGTTATTTTAAATGTACAAAATTCGATTACTGTCTGCTTTAGCGTTTCCCTTTGTGCAACGTGGTCATTGTTATTAATTACTATTAAAGGAACTATCTGAAGCTGAAAATCAGTTTAAGAGGATGATTGAACACTACCCCAACGAGGGACTTGATTGCTTGGCCTATTGCGGGATTGGAAAAGTCTATTTGAAGAAGAACAGGTTAGTTGACACCACGCAGCTTCACCCCGGCATGAGATCTGCTGAAGGCAGCTTGGCAGGTCTTTGCCATTCCCCCTTAGGAACACTGTGATCCTTTGCTCACTTTGACAACGGGCATTTCTGCACCAGTATTAGTTATTAAAGGAAGGCCAGGGTGTCCAGCCGCCTGGCTTCTACCTCTGAATTCAATGAGAAAGTCACTAATCAAGTCTGACAGACTTACCTAGTCTGGAAAGAGGAATAAAGTCCTGGTTAACTTTACAGTCCAGTATTCTTTCTGGATGAGCTGTGGGATTGGGTTGCCGTTATTTTTTCAAACAATGGAAACTAAAATATTGTAGGGTTCTTTGTTTGGAGGCCATGTAGCAGCAGTACTTAGAGCTTACTCCTGGCTCTGAGCTCAGAGAAGTACTCAGGCAACCATATGGTGGTGCCCAGGTTCGAATCCTGGTTCGCCATGGACAAGACAGAGTACCCTACTTGCTATACTATCTCTCCATTTTATTTATTTATTTGTTTTTGGGCCACACGCAGCGATGCTGAGGGGTTCCACCTGGTTCTGCACTCAGGAATTACTCCTGGCGGTGCTCAGGGGACCACAAGGGATACTGGGGGTCGAACCCACGTCGGCTGTGTGCAAGTCAAAAGCCCTATCTCTCTGACCCCCTGTCTCTCCATTTTAAATCATTTATGTACACCTCTGTTCGGTTAGAAAATTCACTGGTTTACGATTGAATAAAGTTTCCTATTATATCTAATCTTACTAACATCTTTCTCATGGAATTTTTTCTCCCCCATTAATTCCAGCTGAGGTTATATGGCTACAGTAGTATAAACAATTTTCTTTTTGGTATCCGAAGTTACTGCATCTCCACTATGGGGAAAGTACTTGATACCTAGAAGAGAGTTTTTAGTTGTAGATTTCCTAATATTCTCAGGTTTCAAACAAAACAAAAAAATTAAAGGAGTAATTCATTAAAGTGGAGAGCGATAGTCCAGAGATTGAGGCCCTTGCCTTCATGTAACTCACTCCAGTTCGATCCCTAAATACAACATCTGATTGTCTGCCCTGAACTCAGCCAGCAGAAGCCTTGACCACCCTGGGTGTCGCTCAGGCCCTCCACCCTACCGGCAAAGTGACATGGAACTTTCAGTTTCTTAGGAAGTCTACTTCATTCACTTATAAGGAATAAAATTAATCTGGTTGCTCCCATAAAACAGGCAACTGGCTTATTCATTTTTGTGTTGGAATTTTTTTTAATTGACAAGTTTGTTATTACTATTTTTTTTTTAATTCTTGAAACGTTGCTGTTTCCTTCTATTCTTTTTGTTGTCGTTACCGTATCAAAGGATGATGTTCCAAGTTGTGTTCCATGAGCGTGTGTGTGTGTGCGCGTGTGTGTATGCATGCATGTATGTATGTGCGTGGGCCAGGGATCACAGTGCTCTGGGCGATCACACGTGTAAGGTGATACAGGGAATGGCAGCAGGGTGTGCCTTCTCTCTCAGACACACCGGTAGCCCCAGTTACAGACAGGTTTAGTTTTTATTATTTGTTATTTCGGTCACACCTGATGATGTTCAGGGGTTCCTTCTGGCTCTGCACTCGGGAATTACTCCTGGCAGTGCTCGGGGGGCCATATGGGATGCTGGGGATCAAACCCAGGTTAGCCACATGAAATGCAAATGCACTCCCCGCTGGACTCTTGCTCTGGCATCACTGACAGTTTTAAACGGACTTCATTAGTGTCCACTGCCCTAATGAAGACAGTGCCCGGGCAGATTTATGTTTTTTTCATGTTACTTTTGTAGAAATGGTAGTAATATCTTGGTTTATTAAAGTATGCATTGGTTGTATTGGGCATTTCTTTGGCTTTTTTTTTTTCTTTCTTTTTTTTTGTGGTCCAGACTCAGCAGTGCTTAGGGCTTACTACTGGCTCCATAACCAGGGATCTCTCTGTGCTTGGGACCATATGGGATACTTGGGATCGAACTTGGGACAGCTGTGTGCAAGGCAAATGCACTATTCTCTATACTATGCTCAAGCCACTATTGAAAATTTCTATGCAGTGATCTATCAAATTAATAATTACATGTTAATAGCTTACTAGTAATACTATCTATGACTTTTGCAGTGTAAAATGAAAACTTTGTATCCTTAACCTCTTCAAATTATGACTTTAGATTTCTGGAAGCTCTTAATCACTTTGAGAAAGCAAGAACCTTGATTTACCGCCTTCCTGGAGTTTTGACTTGGCCCACAAGTAATGTGGTGATTGAAGAGACAAAGCCGGGAAAAATAAAGGTAATTGTTTACATCTGCATCTAATAATTGCTGACAGATGTGGGTTGTGGAAGGCCCCAGATCCAGCAACCATGTATCTCCTTCAAAGACAGTCAATATCACTAACGTTTACTACCTGTTTCCTCACTGCCAGTCACCTTTCTCTCACTGTAGTCAAACCTTAGAGTGACTCTACGAGTACTGAGAGTCTACCCATTATGCAGATGGAAAAGATTAAGTGGGTGAGGAGCTCGGTATTACAAATCTGGAAAGCATAGGTCTGGAACGTGAATCTAGGATTCTGACATTATTATAAACTGTGTTGCATTATAAAGTACCTAGAGAAAGGTCTGGTATGATTAATTCCTCGTAATTACTATAATTACTGATACCGTGCTTAAAGATGTTGAAAATACCAATTCAGCTTTGTAGGCAGAATTTTTACTATTCTGCAAGACCTAAATCAGAATCTTTAACTGGGTCTATAGGACCTAAATTATGTAAGAATTTGCTGCTTTTCGGGCTACTGGTAGGTGGTGAATTCTGCCATGTGCTCAGAGCTTGCTTTGGCTGAAGCTTTTAAGAGCAGTATATTTTAGATAATAAAAATACCTACGTAAAAATACCCAATAACCCTAAAAAAGTGACTTAAAAAATCTTAATCGATTACTTGTTTTACTTTAAACACGATGGTTTGCAAAGCATTATTGATTGTGACCCAAAAACAAAACATCTTGTGTGAGAAACTTCAGACGTGCTAGGATGGCTTTGAAAAGTGGCCGGCAGAGGGTCAGAGTGATGATACAGTGGGTACTGCAGTTGGCTGGAATGAGGCCAGCCCTGATTCGAACGCTGGCATCCCACCTGGTCCCCCGAGCCCACCAGGAGTGATTCCTGAGTGCGGAACCAGGAATAAGCCCTGAGCACTGTGAGGTGTGGTCTCAGCAAAACAAAACAAATAGGCCAATAAGCTGTGTGTAATTTAAAGTTTTATGTTTATAACACTGCTTAGGATTTTTGGTTTGACTGAAATTCTAGAAATTTTCTATTCAGCCCTTTTCTGCCTACTGTCCTCTTAACACATTCCTTAATCAGCCTCATACGAAGGTGTGTGTGTGTGGTTTGGTTTTGGCCAAAAAGTAGCCAAGAGATCATTGAAATCACAAGCATTTTTATTGATGAAGCACTGTGATAGAATGATTTTAATTCTTTTTTCTAGATGCTGATAGAGAAATTTATCGAGGAATGCAAATTCCCTCCCGTGCCCGATGCCATTTGTTGCTATCAGAAGTGCCGTGGATATTCCAAGATCCAGATCTACATAACCGATCCTGATTTCAAGGTAAATCATCAGTGTGTGCTGATACACGACCGTGTAGGATTGTAACTCCCCTCTATATCCGCCCCCACCCTTTGTTCTGAGCTGTGTCATTCATTATCATTGATGGGTCTGAGAGACAGGACAGTGGGTAGGCGGTTGTCTTACCTGTGGCTGACCGGGGTTTGATTGCCAGCACCCTTTAGGGTCCCTCAAGCCCGTCAGGAGCAACCCCTGAGTGTGCGTCCAAGAGTGGGTCCTGAGTTTAGCTGTGTTTTTAGCCCAAAAACTCACGGGGAGTGGAGCCATTTTATTGAGGTGAAAGTTTTATTGACCATTATGAAGTCAATTGCTTTCAAGAATCTGAGTAAATTGGAACTAGAGAGATTGTACAGCCTGCAGAGTTAGTGTCAAATAATGCATTGCCTGGGTTTTCGTCTGTGTATTTTTATGGTTTCGGATCTTACATTCAAATCTGATGGTTGGTTCTTTGTTTTGGGCCACACCTGGCGATGCTCAGGGTTTATTCATGGCTCTGCACTCAGGAAGTAGTCATGGCGGGGCCCATAGGGGATTCTGGAGATAGAACCCAGATCGGCAGATGCAAGACAAGCACCCTGCCTGCTGCAGCATCGCTGGGGCCACATATAATAGTGCCCATAGGGGTGGCCCCAGCCGTACTTCAGGGGACCGTGGAGTGCCCTGCCCTTGCTCAGACCTTACCCTTCATCATGACAGAGGTTGTTGTTCATTAGCCTTTAAACTCTCACCCTCCCCCCTCACCCCTTTCTTCACCTGAATATGTGCTTTGTGTGTGTGTGTGTGCGCGTGTGTGCGTGCATGTGTGTGCACGCACACATGAACACGACTGTTTATAGACTTCTTAAAAATTCAAATTTAAAATGTTCCCCCTCCAGGGCTTCATCCGAATCAGCTGCTGCCAGTATTGCAAAATCGAATTTCACATGAATTGCTGGAAGAAGTTGAAGACAACCACCTTTAATGATAAGATTGACAAGGTACGACTAATGAGATGGTCTGGATTTTTAGCAAGTTCACACAGTGTTGAATTTTTTCTTTTCTTTAAAGGGATGTGATAGGCCTCAAGTGATCATAACCTGTCCCCAGAGGTTCCTCACTAATCTTCTACCCTGATTCCCGGGTATCTTATAATAGGTTTTATTTATTGTATCGGTTGCCCTGAAGTTCTGCAGGTTGGGCCAGGAATGAGTTGTAGCAGCTCCTCTCCATGGCTGTGAAATGTGTTTCTGAATTTTGGCTGAGACGAGCTGGTCTTGTGGGAGGGCACTGAGAGCCATCACTGGTCCGTGCGTGTTCCTGAAAGTTCTGGTGTGGACACGGGGTGCACCATGTATGCTTCTTAGCTACACAGACCAAAGCAGAGTATGAGGTCAGCTCTGCAGCCAGCGTGTTCTCCTGCATGGGATCTCTAGAGACAGGTTTGAGACCCTGTGGGACTTCTCGGTTATTAAAATACTATGCACGTGACATTTCATTCTAAGATCTGATACTCCTGTTCTTCTCTTTTTGAATCAAACAGGATTTCCTACAAGGAATTTGTCTCACCCCTGACTGTGAAGGCATCATTTCCAAGATTATCATCTACAGCAGTGGTGGGCAAGTGAAATGCGAAGTAAGTTGTAAAGAAAGGGGAAATCTCACATATTGATGACCAAAATGCTGACGTTTTAAAATAGAACTTGCTAGAAGTGGTGCCATTTGGATCTGGTCTTTTCCAGAAAAGAAAAACTTAACATGAGAATATTATGTTGATGCTAATACTTAGCATGGAAAATATTAGGATATGAGAACGAGGATTCTCACAAACTTCTATTTCCTAATCGGAAAGGCGGGCTTTTTAACACTTTTCATGTTTTTATTCTCTTTCTTAACCTAGAATTCTTTATCCCTTGTTAACCTTTGAGTTTGAGTGGGGGTGGGGATCTTAGGGGTGGAAGAGTTCTGAAAACAGATTCAACTTTTAATTGTATGGCATGGGAGTGGCCAGAGAGGGCTTTAGGAATAGTTGTAGTTCATTTGTTCATCCTTTGCTCTTGATATTTAAGTTCTTAAAGTGTTTCTACTCACTTCCAATACATTGTTCTGCTGAAGTTCTGTCTGGGTCAGGGATTAGCTCTGCTTCTTATCCAGCTGAGCAGCGTGTTTGTGAAATGTCCTTGACTTGTGGCTTTGTGTTACTTTTCATGAGAGCATGAGACAAATTTTGGATGTCTTTGTTTTATTTTAAGTTTGAACACAAGGTCATAAAAGAGAAGGTTCCTCCAAGACCTATTCTGAAGCAGAAATGTTCTAGGTAAGATTTTCTATTATCTGTAAGCTTACGCATGTTCCTTGAAAGATAATACTGTAATTGGCAGTTCTAAATTAGGTGGCTTTTTTGATGTTTGTTGTTGTTGTTGTTTAGAATTGCATTACAGAGAAAGATACCCAATTATGAGGATGTTCATGATTGGGTTTCCATTGTATAATATTCCAACACCCATCTTTTCACCAGTGTACAGTTCCCACCACCAATGTTCCCAGTTTTGTTCCTGATAAATTAATTTTTTTAATTGGCCACTTACACAACTGAATTAATGATTTTGAAATAAATTGTATGGATATTTAAAATTTAAAGAGAAGTAGCCTAGGATGGTTAAATTCTAAAACTTGCACTGCACTGTCTGCACTGTTCTCCTGTTGTTCATCGATTTGCTCGAGCGGGCCCAGTAATGTCTCCATTGTGAGACTTGTTACTGTGTTTGGCATGTTGAGTACGTCACAGGCAGCTTGCCGGGCTCTCCAAGAGGAGCGGAGGAATTGAACCTGGCTTGGCCAGGCCGGCTGCTCATAAGGCAAATGCCCTACTGCTGTGCTGTCGCTCCAGCCCCCTGAATCACTGATTTTATAAATAAAATTATAATGGTTTGCAATGTGAAATTTTATTTGTTAAATAGATTTGATATTTAGATAAAAGTTGTTTGCTTTACTTTTTTTTATTGAAACTTTAGTTTCCATAGTGTTTTTCCTTTTAGTCTTTTCTTAGTAAATATTTTGAATCAGTAACTATTCTTTACTCTGAAATACTCGAATACTTGTTTGAATTACTCACTTTCTGTACCTTTTTTAGATTATTGCAGCCTCTTTTTATTTTGATCTTGCTGTTTAATTTTAAGGACTTACTTTTTTTCCAACTTTGGTGACCCAAGATAAAGCAAAAACAAAAAAAATGACAGGGCTGGAACAATAGCACAGTGGGTAGGGCGTTTGCCTTGCACGTGGCCAACCCGGGTTCGATTCCCAGCATCCCATATGGTCTCCTGAGTACCGCCAGGTATAATTCCCGAGTGCAGAGCCAGGAGTAACCCCTGTGCATTGTCAGGTGTGACCCAAAAAGAAAAAAAAAATGACAAATGGAATTGTTGAAGAGAATACTCTAGATATATATACCAAACTCTATAGGAAGTCATTACTTGAATCTTACGACACTATTTTGTCGCGGGTCTCTCTTTGAAATGAATATATATTATCCTGCAGAGTAAATTTTAGAATTTTTGAGGGGGTGTGGGGAGAGGGAGACCATCCACTGGTGCTCGGGAGCTACTCCCAGTGTTGCACTCAGGCTCTCTCTTAGCCAACGGACTGTGTGGTGCCGGGAATCTGACACATAAAATATTTGTACTGGCCTTCAGTTATCTCCCTGGCACAACTTTCAGTGTTTCTAGATATCTTAAGGAATAATTTAGAGGTAAAGGAATAACATCTGTACAGTCTGTATAAGCCATCCTTAATCCCTTGTTCTCATAAAACAAATATCCTTATTTTGCCTTAAAAGGTTATATACTTTCTTTTTTTAAGTGATATGTTATATATTTATTTCTATTTTCTTGGTGCTGAGGTTTGAATCGAATTGTCGCTCATGCAAGGCATTTGCATCAGTAGATTTTGATCTAGGCAGAAGATACTCTAAAGTAAAAGAGAATGTCTATCTTGGTGCTAGGAGAATAATTTCTGCAGTAACAGAAGCAAAGTATCTCACTGAATTTACAACAGAGGTGAATTATCACTAATTGTATATGTTTATTAGCCTTGAGAAGTTGAAACTGAAAGAAGACAAAAAATTGAAGAGAAAGATCCAAAAGATGGAAGCCAAGAAATTAGCCCAAGAGAGAATGGAAGAGGACTTACGGGAGAGTAATCCACCCAAAGCCGAAGAGCCCAAAGGTACGTTGAAGGTGCAGCCTGCTTAGAGCAGTGCCGTGATGCTTCAATGAAATAATATCCCTCTTCTTGGGACATTGTTAGTTGAAATTAGATACCAGTTTGTGTAAGATAATACCATCACTGTGAAGGTACAAATAGTGTCTAACATAATATTGCATATTTAATAGTCCTCTGTAAACTCCACGTAGGGACCTTATATTAGCTACTAATTACCTAAAATGATGCTTAAGCCAAATGCAGTGGCAGCTTATGAAAAGTACCATAGAGGTGAATTTGTCCAACCTTCTGAGTTACGCTTATCTTGTCATCAGCCCCTGGTCTGCATAGTGACACATAGTAACCAATATATTGGTTTAGAGTTTCCATCATTTTTATTATGAGGGTCCATTCCAAAGTGACCATCGCACTTGACCTTCGTGCTGTTTTTTTTATCTAATACTCCGTACTATTTCACAAATCAATTAAAAAATACATATTCTACTGAAATACTTTTCAGCATTTGTTTGTATTTTAACTTTGCATGCTTTGAAAGGCTGACAGTCAAGTAGAGATTCTGTGAATCCATTTGTGTACAAGTTGGGATCCAACAATTTGATGGATAATGGAGCAATAACCACCAAGTATTAGTTAAGTTGTATTGAATAAATAATCCCTCCAGCTTAAAAAAGGAACCTAGCCTGCATGCTGATAGTCTAGCGATATTTATTCATTATAAAGTTTAGTTAATGAGACTGGGCTAGAATTGCTGGGGGAATCAATCTTATTTTATTTATTTATTTTTTTAATTTTTATTAGTGAAACACCATGAGGTACAGTTGTAGACTTACAAATTTTTGTGCTTGGGTTTCAATTATACAATGATCAAATACCCCTCCACGGGTGCCCATTTTCCACCACCACGGGTCCCAGTATCCCTCCCATGCCCCGTCCCACCCGTCCCACCCTGCCTCTGTGGCAGGGCCTTCTCTTTTGTTCTCTCTCTCCTTTTGGGTGTTGTGGTTTGCAAAAGAGGCATTGAGTGGCAATCATGTTTGGTCTATAGTCTACTTTCAGCATGCATCTTCCATCCTGGGGGGATCCTCCCACCCTTTATTTGGTTTTCCCTTTTCTATCTGAGCTCCCTTTTCCCCTAGCATGTGTGGCTGGCTTCCAAGCCATGGAGCAAAATTCCTGGTATTAATCTCAGCCATTCTTGGGTGTTAGTCTCCTATTTTGTTACTTTATGTTTCCCAGATGAATGCAATCTTTCTGTATCTATCCCCTCTTTCTGACTCATTTCGGTCAACTTGATACTTTCCATGTAGTACCACTTGTATGTAAATTTCATGACTTGTCTTTTCTAACAGCTACATAGTACTCCATTGTGTAGATGTACCAAAGTTTCTTTAACCAGTCATCTGTTCTCGGGCACTCAGGTTTTTCCCAGATTCTGGCTGTTGTAAAGAGTGCTGCAATGAACAGACAATTGCAGATGTCTCTTCGACTATACTTTTTTGCCTCTCTGGGATATATTCCCAGGAGTGGTATTGCTGGGTCAAATGGGAGCTCAATTTCTAATTTTTTGAGAATAGTCCATACTGTTTTCCAAAAGGGCTGAACCAGTCGGCATTCCCACCAGCAGTGAAGGAGGGTCCCTTTCTCACCACATCCGTCAACCTTATTTTAGAGCAACTGAGTTTTTAAGGAGATAAGATTCTTCTGTATGGTTTAATTGAGCTTTCCCCTTCGGAAAGGAGTAGTTATATATTTTATTTCCCGGTTTCCCATCCATTTCTTTATTTAAAGCAACAGAGAACCACTTTATGTCAGGTTTTGTTTTTTACTTCTGAGTTGATATCTTCAAAAATTCCGCCTTTTTTGACTACCATTGACCACTGCTATCCATCCACAGAAACGGTTAAGAATGTTCAGAACTGCCAGTTTCTTGATGACAGAATTCTGCAGTGCATAAAGCAGTACGCTGACAAGATTAAAGCCGGAATCCAGAACCCTTCCAAACTTCTCAAGGAGTTGCTGTCTTGGAAAGTTTTGAGCACCGAAGACTACACCACCTGTTTTTCAAGCAGAAATTTCCTGAACGAAGCAGTAGACTATGTCATTCGTCATTTGGTCCAGGAAAAGAATCGAGTTAAGACAAGAATATTTCTGCATGTTTTGAGTGAACTTAAAGAAGTCGAGCCGAAATTAGCCACCTGGATCCAGAAACTTAATAGCTTTGGTATGTGGCTTGATTCTGGAGGTGTGTGTGGGGGGGGGGGGGGTGGTGTAGATTTGGTTTGTTGGTTTTTGGGCCACACCTGGTGCTCTGAGCTCAGTGCTCAGGGATGATTCCTGGCAGGGCTTGGAGTGGGGCACGGGACACCATGTGGGTGCTGGAGTTCAAACCTGGGTGGGGCATGTGCAAGGCAAGAGTGCCATTGAATTCTCAGTGCCAGTATCTGCTCCACTGTTTGCGACCCCAGGAGGTGTGACTGAGCAAAGATAACCCCAGAGATGAATGCTTTTTCGGTTTCCCTTTTTGTTTTTCTTTTGGGGGCGGGGGCTTGGGCTACCTCTGGTAGTGCTCAGGAATCACTTGTAGGGGACCGTATGTGTTGCCAGATGCAGTCTGTTTCAGCTGTGCTCTCGCCCATTTTCTTTTTTTTTTTTTTCCTTTTGGGTCACACCCGGCGATACACAGAGGTTACTCCTGAGTCTGCACTCAGGAATTATGCCTGGCAGTGCTCAGCCATATGGGATGCTGGGATGCTGGGAATTGAACTCGTGTCAGCTGCATGCAAGGCAAACGCCCTATCCTCTGTGCAATCTCTCCAGCCCTCGCCCATTTTCTTAACTGCTTCTTAACCCGGGTCAGCTGCGTGCCAGTGCAAATGCCCTCCCCACTGGACTATCCCTGCTGCCCCATGTCTTTTGGTTCCCACCCCATCCTTAAGCAGGCTTTTCTCTATGGTCATCCAGAAACTGCAGGAGGTATCTGATACTTGGTCTCTTCAAAGAAAATTTTGAGGGGTTATGTGGGTGGGTGTGTAGGGTCTACCCAGCGTCACCCAGAGCTTACTCTCACCCATGCTCAGGGCTCACTCCTGGCCTTCCTCACGGGACCATTTGTGGTCCCGGGGATCAAATTGGAATCGGTTTGTGCAAGGCGAACACCTTAATGTTGGTGCCCTAAGCCCTGTACTATCTCTTCGCTCCCGACAGTGTTCTTTGTTGGTTTATGTTATCACTACAGTAGCAGATGGCCTTACACAGAAGGTGACTCAGTGGCCAGTTATTGCATCAAAGGGTACAAGTGGACGAGAAAGCAAGAATGGGCCTTGCAAACTTCTCTCCCTAGGATGGTCTCTGAGCACCAGCAGGGGTCACTCCTGACTGCCGCAGGGAGCTGCCCACACTCCCTCGCTCCCTCCGTAAACGCTAAAAAGGATTGCAGAAGACCAGGTGCAGGAGAGTGAGCCTGCCAGGTCTCTCTCTAGGGTTCTTAGAAGTCTGGGTTGCAGAGACTACTGATAAAGTTTCATAAACATAATAGATGCCTTTGTCCTACCTCATTGATGGATAGGTAAAGGCCCTCCCGTTGATCGTCGATTTGCTCGAGCGGGCCCAGTAACGTCTCCATTGGAGACTTTGTTGTTACTGTGTCTGGCATATCGAATACTCTCGGTAGCTTGCCGGGCTCTCCGAGAGGGGCGGAGGAATCGAACTCGGGTCGACCATGTTGGCCGCTTGTAAGGCGAACCATTGATGGATATGAATTATTATTGGCATTTTAATGTTACGTGAATTTTTTTTTGTTTTTGGGTCACATCCGGCCATGCTCAGGGGTTACCCCTGCCTCTGCGCTCAGGAACTACCTCTGGCTATGCTTGGGGAACCCTCTGGGATGCTGGGAATCAAACCCTGCTCGGCCGTGTGCAAGGCAAACGCCCTACCCGCTGTGCTATCGCTCCAGCCCCACGTGAAATTTTTTAAATATGTGACTGGATGCCCAAGCACTGAGAGTGTAAGCAGCCGAAGGGAAGGCCTTTTGGAGGCCAGCCTTGTGCTCTCACTATGTTTAATCGCAAACTTGGGTTTTGTGTTTCTTTTAGGCTTAGATGCCACGGGATCTTTTTTCTCTCGATACGGAGCATCTCTTAAGGAGCTTGACTTTAGCATCATGACTTTCCTCTGGAACGAGAAGTACGGCCATAAACTGGCTTCCATCGAAGGGAAGCAGCTGAGTTATTTCTGTGAGCCCACAGCAGTGACGGAGGCGCGGTGTCTAATTTGGCTGCTGGAGGACCATCGCGACAAGTTCCCTGGCCTGCATAATGCCTTGGATGAATTCTTTGATATAATGGGTATGTGGACCAAGTTCAAATACTGCATCTGGGGGGAAGGTGGAATTGTACTTAACCATTTTTACATATTTAAGAAAAGAGTGAACAGTATTAAGGTACAACTGGTTTTTTTTGGGGGGGGGAGTTTGTGATTAAGAATATTAAAATTTTTTTGTAATGTCATTAACCTTTTAATCTGGGAGTTGTAGAATTAGTCAGATGAGAACATTATACAAACAGCATATTATACTGTTCTCATTTTAGGCGTTTTGTCAGGTTCTTGACTAGGATGGGTGTTTTGATGTGGAACATTTAGGAAAGAGATGTCCTACAGGCATGTGTGATGTTTGCAGACTCAAGGCAGAGCCTGCCTCTGCGGTAATGGGAAAAGGCCCCAACTCTGGGAGCTGTCAGTAGTTGATCAGCCTCTCTCTAATTTAGTCCTGTAAAACCCTCTTGGGTTCTGCTGTTTCCCGGGTCCCTGTTAATGCGGGCCTTAGAGGTGCTTGTACTCGTCCCTGCTCTCAATCACCTTAGGTCCTCAATAAAGGTCCAGGAAAGGTACCAAAGGGTTCAGGGGGAGGATCGGGTATGTGGTGCATTCAAGGAGGAGGGCAGCCTTGATGCTGGCGAGTGTTTAAATTGCACATGACCGGGAAATGGGCTTGGAAAGGTTGACGTCCAGGCTTAAGACAGAAGATGGGCGAAAATTGAGGAGCGGTGTGAATCAGAGCAAGGAGATCAGCATGGCAGAATGCAGTAGCTAGTGGGCGATTCCTCTTGGATTTCGGTTTCTCTATTGCACAAATGAGAGGACTTAGAACCAGCAATCTCTGTGGTCGTTCTGCTTCAGAAGTCTGGTGTTCTTAGGTAGTAACTGAATTTAATTTTTGTTGATAATCACATGCGTGTCTTACAAAGGACTACGCTTCTTCATGGTCCCTTTATCTCGTGGTTTCATGGGTCTGTGTATGGTCAGAGTTAGGCCTTTCAAGATCCGTGCTCTGTTAAAGGGTACATACGAGGTCTGGCCTTGACAACAGTGTCATGTGGTAGAGGCCAGTGCGGTAGGAAGAAATGGAAGGCTTGCTGTTTTGCGTTTCTTAGGGAGCAGATTCAAACCTAGATGGCTTTATTTTTCCAGGACTCTGCTTCAGGACTGAACGTGACATGCTACCGGATAGCCTGAATTTATTGCCATCAGTTTGCTACTGCTGGTAATAAAACGCTGCCTGGGCTGAGCTCACAAAACCCAATGCATGTTTGGATCACACAAAAGTAAACTCAAAAAAAGATACACCTCCCCCTCATTCGCATTTTTCTGGGTCTCGTGTCTCCACCTGAAGATTGCAGCCCATCTAGCTGTGATTATTTTCCACCCTTGAGACATAGAATTGGAAACCACCAATCAATGACTGGCTGATTGATTGATCCGATCCTTAACTCTGCCTTGCACCCTTACTGCGTTTTCTTCTTTTCCTCTAAAGGAATGGTTCTCTTAAAACTTCCCGAAACCACTGGGCCTGTAACAAAATGTATTTAACAAAGCAGTGTAGACAACCAAGAGATTTAATAAATTAATGTAAACGACCAGGATAATCCTGTGGGGCCATATGGGTAAATCTGCTTTCAACCCTAGGCTTCCTAAATTGATTTGTTAAAAACCAGCGTTGAGGGGTTGAAGTGATAGCACAGTAGGTAGGACATTTCCCTTGCACGCGGCCAACCCAGGTTTGATTCCCAGCGTCCCATTGGGTTTCCCAAGCACTGCCAGGAGTATTTCCTGAGTGCATAGCCAGGAGTAACCCCTGTGCATTGCTGGGTGTGATCCAAAGGGTGGGGGGGGGGGGGAAATCGCATTGAGCGCCAGGAAGATAATACAAAAGGTATGGCATTTGCCTTGCGCATTGCTGACCCCATCAATCCCTGGCATCCCCATGTGGTTCCCTGAGCACCACCAAGAGTGATCCCTGAGCACAAAGCCAGGAGTAACCCCTGAGCATCGCAGGGTATGGCCCAAACCCAACCCGTCCCCCCCCAAAAAATTAGCATTGCTGTCTGTCTTGTGATTATCAGATCCTGAAGTTGGTCTCAGCTCTTCACTTGTCCCATGATCACCTTCTCAGCGCAGACTGGCTGTGTCTTACTCCTGCCCTTCCCATGGCCAGAACGTAGTCATCTTTCCATGATTACTAGCCCGTTGCTGTGACTGGCTTCCAGTTGGTCTCCAGGCCTCTGCATCCTCCCACTCCAAATCTGCCTTTATGTTCCCACTTGGGCCTCTTCCACAACTTGTTTCATTCAGGAAGAACTTGACTCGGTTTCTTCTTCGTGTGTGTGTGTGTGTGCGCTTGCACCTTACATTTTTGAGTGGGTTTTCCTCACTCTCCTCATGCACCGTCGTCTAGCTGAGCTCATGTCTGCCCTGCACTTTACAGCCTCCTCTGTTTGGGATTCCTTTGGTATTTTGGTTTTTTGTTTTGTTCTGTTTTGTTTTTGTTTATTTGTTTGCATCACACCTGGCAATGCACAGGGGTTACTCTTGGTTCTGCACTCAGGAATTACTGCCGGCAGTGCTCAGAGGACCATGTGGGATTTGGGGGATCGAACCCGTGTTGGCCGCGTGCAAGGCAGGTGCCGTACTCTCTGTGCTATGGCTCCAGCCCCCGGTTTGCGATTCCTTTGAACCTCATGTCTCCGCTTTAGTTATTTCTTGGACCTATCCCCTGGAAAGGGCCAGTACTCCATGAGGTTTGTCTCCGCTGTGTTTATCACGGCACTTAGTGCTCTGGGTTACAGGTGTTTGTCTGTTTTCTAGAACACGACAGGAATGTGGTGTATTGATCGCAGAGACTGTTCTGTGCATCTTGGTGTTCCTCACTCGCAGGGTAGAGTTGGGCTCTCAGGAGATCATTGATTTTATGTGCCTCGGACTGAACAGTTTGTGGTTCTTTGTAGTTGGTTTCCCACTTGGTTGACCTTTTTTGCTCTTTCTTTTTTTTTGTAAAGAGTGTCAACGCTTTCAATTAATATGAACAAACTTATGAAAATAAAATTTCAAAATTTTAAGTAAAAAATGAAGAGTGTCAACACCACATAGAATGTAAGATGTTCATAATGCCAAGGGTGGTTTCGTTGGAGGGTCTGGTGTGTGTATTTGATGGTGACATGTTCACTCATTTCCTCACAAAACCCTGTTTATCTTCCCACAGACAGCCGCTGTACCGTACTGAGGAAGCAAGACAGCGGAGATCTGCCGGTGAGTTGCTGGAGCACATTAAATGTTCCTTCGAATTTGTGTCAGCAGAAGGAGGTATTACCCAGACCTGTGCCTCAATAGCCCAGGGGGCGTTCCAAATTAGAGATTTTGAAAAAATGGTTACTGTTTTATTAGAAAGTTAAACCTTCGTCTTTCTGTTCCAATTAAAGCAGCAAGCAGACTCTGAGGTTCCATTAAACCATTCAGAAAATGTTAGTTAATAAATGTTAATATATTAAAAATAGGAAAAAGAGTACTGGGTGATACTCTTGCATAAAAGTGAAGCCGTCTGTATAATTAAAACTTTAATTTTTTCCTGAGTTACAAAAGGCTTTGTTTTGAGTAGCTCGTAGCTCGTAGCTAGTTTAAAATAAATAATGGCCAGAGTTGCCTTCTTCTCTATGTTGTGGTAGTTTTTTAATATGAAGGTTGTTTTCTGATTTTTTTTTTTGGATCACATCTATATTTGAAACTTTGTCTTAATCTATGCTCTATAATCTGCCAAACTATGTTTGGAAATAAATACTGACACACTCGGAACATAAATGCTTCTTTATGTTCAGTATTGTGCCCCAGTCTAACTGGATGTGGAATATCTTATTTGGCTCTAACAAAAGAATTAATTAAAAAAACTGTTAAGAGCCCATAACTGGAATTTTTTGTTTATTTATTTTTTTAAATGAATCACAGTGAGATACACAGTGTTGTTTTTGTTTTTGTTTGTTTTGCTTTTTTTTTGGGTCACACCCGGCGATGCTCAGGGGTTACTCCTGGCTCATGCACTCAGGAATTGCTCCTGGCGGTGCTCAGGGGACCATATGGGATGCTGGGAATCGAACCTGTGTCGGTCATGTTGGCTGCGTGCAAGGCAAATGCCCTACCCACTGTGCTATCGCTCTAGCCCCGATACACAGTGTTTTATGATTGGGTAGTCATACAATGTTCCGACATCCGTCCCTTCACCAGTGTACATTTCCTACCACCAATGTCCCCAGTTTCCCTCCTGTCTCACCCCCCCACACCCCATAGAATTATTTTAAAGCCCGATTAATTATTTGAAATAAATAAACGTGTTGAAAATTAGTTTAAAATGTTGGAGCAATTTAAATTATTTTCGGCATTAGCATCAAACTTTTTATTATTTTCTATTATAAGTAATATGACTGTCATACTATATTTCTTCATTAAAATGTAATATATATATTCTATATCTTTATAATGAGCTTTATATACTGAATTTTGAGTTTCTTGACTTTTCTCTCTTTCCCCCCCATGTTTTAGTTTAATTCTATCAAGATAAAAAACAAAGGCAAGAAAAAGAAACAAAAAGATTCAAAGGTATGGGTATTTTCTGAATATATTAATTATATCATTGGGTGGGGTAGGGGCTTGGGACATTCTCTGAGGTGCTCAGGACTTAGTCCTGGCCCTGCACTCGGTGGGATCATTCCTGGCAGTGCTCAGGGGAGCATTTGTGGCTGCCAGGGCTTAACCTGGGTCAGGCACATACAAAGCAAGCTCCTTGTCTGCTGTAATATCATTCTGCCCCCAATTATATAACTGTTACTAATCATATTATACTTTAATCATCTATGTGAGCTTACTCTTAATTTCCTGGGTCATGAAGTAACAAATGTGTCAGTATCTGTGTTTCTAGGACAGAACAGTTAGGGCTGGAGAGATGGTTTAGAAGGGTTTTAGCACTTGCCATGCGTGTACCTCAGTCCTCAGTGTTACCCACCAACCTTTCCCCACTCACCCAAAAAGCATAGGGTCATTAGCAATGCCTATTATTGCTAACAGTAAAGGAGTTATTATGCTTATTGGGTCGAAAATCCTTAGTAATTGTCACCTGTTGTTACTAAGCTGAATTTTAAAATGGATAACAAAGCAGAGTAAGTTTCTAGTATTTGAGTGCTTTTACTGAAATAATTTTTGTTCAAATGTATGTGACTAATCTTTAAGAAATGATCGATAATCAGTCTCATAAGAAATAGGGTCTCTGCCTTTCAGCAGGCCTTGCTCAGCCTGAGGGATAAGTAGGCCCTCATATCTTGGGTATGAGGACAGGTATGGGAGGGATGCAAGAAAATGAACATATACTCGGAGGCTGAAAGTTGCATCTGACCTTTTGATTTTTATTTTTGAGTCTTTGTTCAAAACAAATTTTGGGGCCGGAGCGACAGCGGGTAGGGGGTTTGCCTTGCACGCGGCCGATCCAGGTTCGTTCCCTGGCATCCCTTATGGTCCCCTGAACGCTGCCAGGAGTAATTCCTGATTGCAAAGCCCTGAGTAACCCCTGAGCATTGTTGGGTGTGACCCAAAAGGAAGGGGAGAACAGAAATTTAAACTAAGTGATATTTTTTAAAATGTTTTTTTTAAGGATTGGAAATGACTGTTCATTTGAGCCTGTTCTTCGTTGATGAAAGTTTTATTAGTGTCTTCATATTCATGAGAAATTTTAGATAAACCCTACACACTGCATGCATATTTATAGTTTTTTTTCCCCGTTTTAAATTTTTTTTTCTTTTTTGATTTGGGGCATACCTGTGATGCTGCTCAGATTATTCCTGGCACTATAGTCTGGAATTACTCCTGGCTGTGCTTGGGGGACCATATGGAACATCAGGGATCAAATCCGGGTCAAGTACATACAGGGCTAATGCCCTACTGCTATATTATCTTTCTGGCCCCTAAACAGTGATCATTTAATAGTAATTTCCTCCCCCTGTGGAATTTTAAGGTACAAAATAATTGTCATTTTTGCCTTTTTTTTTTTTTGAAACCAGCCTATGTTAGTTGGATCTGGAAAAACTTCAATAACACCAAATAATGATGCAACCACTTCCAGTGACGACCATAAGTAAGTATAATTTTTCTTTTTTAAATAAAAGTATGTTATGTGAAGTTAATTTTGTTAACATTTATCAAGCAGGGGCACCACTTGAGATTAGGGGGTCAATCAATAAGAAAACGGGGGGCACAAGAAGGAAAAAAGGTCAGAAAGGACGCCACCAGAGAAAATGGGGTTAAAATTTCTGCTTTCAGCCAACAAGGAAAAGTGGTTAAAAAACAAAAAAACAAGAAAGATCTCCATGAAATAATATTCTGTGATAATGAGTATTGGCTAATTTTTATGTTTTTTTCAACTCAAGGTTAAGGACTTTAAGTAAAGTTTACTTAATGTACGTTATTATTATTATTATTATTATTATTATTTTGGCTTTTTGGGCCACATCAGACGATGCTCAGGAGTTATTCCTCCCTCTGCACTCAGGAATTACTCATGATGGTGCTTGGAGAACCATGTGGGATGCCAGGGACCAAATCCAGGTCGCCTACATGCAAGGCCCTACCCTCCATATTATTGCCCTGGCCCTACTAGATGTCCTTGAAAATTGTGTTTTTTCTAATTTCTCTTTCTGAAAATGTGTCTCTGGTATGACTAGCTATTCTGACCCTTCTTGGCTCTGGTATAGCTTGACCTATGGTTTTTAAGGGCTGATAAGAAATCCTGAAGAGCTTATTTTATACCAATCCCAATTTAACATGGGCTAAGAAAATTTTTAATTCTCCTATTTTCTCAGTCAGATATTTGTATCTAAATAGTAATTGTCAACAGTAACTGTTCAACCTTAAATTATGTGGTAGTTTGTTGCATTATAATTGAGTATGTTACCTGTTATTTCTTTATATAATGTATTTAAATATTTTAATTGAATTATGATGAGTTGCTTATTCATGAATGGGTTTTTTTTTTTTTTTAATTTATTTATTTATTGAATCATTGTGGGAAAAGTTACAGAGCTTTCGGGTTTAGGTCTCAGTCATGTAGATACCAAACACATTTCCCTTTACCAATACTCATTTTTAACCCCGAACCCCAATAGACCCCCACCTCCCACCCCTCCCAATTCTTTGTGAGGCAGATGAGTTCTAGTTAATACTCTATCTACTTTGACTAGATAGATTATTTCGATAGAAGATGCACAATTATTGTTTAGAGTTTACGACCCCCCCCCCCCCCAATCAGACATGCTGAAACAGCGTTGTGAAATGATTTGCTTTCTACAACTTGGTTTAAGAACAAAATGATGTCGCGCGGCCGCAATAGCGGCCGCGCGGTTTTGAATTTCTGCTATTTTACTTATTGACCCTGGAAGAATTTCTATGAAAAGTTAGCTAGTTAAGAGATTGGTTTCTGTGCCCTGGAGTCGTGGCCGTGCCGGAGAGCCGCTCGTGGGGGGCAGCTGGCGACCTTGGTGGGGCGTGGGGGACGGCCCACAAAGCCCCCCTTCCCATGAGGTCCCCGCCGCTCCCCCCCCCCCCCGAGCCCGGCTCAAACCCGCTTTCCACAAGGCTCCCGTGCGGCCGCCATCTTTCTTTCCAGAGAGGAGCGGGCGGGCTGGTCAACGCCCTTCCCCCTCCGGGCAGGCTTGGTGGCGCGGATCAACACAAGTCCATTTGCTTTTCTGCTCCAAGCGGCTGGTTCTCTGTGCTAAGTCCTTGTGCCTCCGGGGCCGTGGCCGTGCCGGAGAGCCGCTCGTGGGGGGAAGCTGGCGACCTCGGTGGGGCGTGGGGGACGGCCCACAAAGCCCCCCTTCCCATGAGGTCCCCGCTGCTCCCCCCCCCGAGCCCGGCTCAAACCCGCTTTCCACAAGGCTCCCGTGCGGCCGCCATCTTTCTTTCCAGAGAGGAGCGGGCGGGCTGGTCAACGCCCTTCCCCCTCCGGGCAGGCTTGGTGGCGCGGATCAACACAAGTCCATTTGCTTTTCTGCTCCAAGCGGCTGGTTCTCTGTGCTAAGTCCTTGTGCCTCCGGGGCCGTGGCCGTGCCGGAGAGCCGCTCGTGGGGGGCAGCTGGCGACCTCGGTGGGGCGTGGGGGACGGCCCACAAAGCCCCCCTTCCCATGAGGTCCCCGCCGCTCCCCCCCCGAGCCCGGCTCAAACCCGCTTTCCACAAGGCTCCCGTGCGGCCGCCATCTTTCTTTCCAGAGAGGAGCGGGCGGGCTGGTCAACGCCCTTCCCCCTCCGGGCAGGCTTGGTGGCGCGGATCAACACAAGTCCATTTGCTTTTCTGCTCCAAGCGGCTGGTTCTCTGTGCTAAGTCCTTGTGCCTCCGGGGCCGTGGCCGTGCCGGAGAGCCGCTCGTGGGGGGCAGCTGGCGACCTCGGTGGGGCGTGGGGGACGGCCCACAAAGCCCCCCTTCCCATGAGGTCCCCGCTGCTCCCCCCCCCGAGCCCGGCTCAAACCCGCTTTCCACAAGGCTCCCGTGCGGCCGCCATCTTTCTTTCCAGAGAGGAGCGGGCGGGCTGGTCAACGCCCTTCCCCCTCCGGGCAGGCTTGGTGGCGCGGATCAACACAAGTCCATTTGCTTTTCTGCTCCAAGCGGCTGGTTCTCTGTGCTAAGTCCTTGTGCCTCCGGGGCCGTGGCCGTGCCGGAGAGCCGCTCGTGGGGGGCAGCTGGCGACCTCGGTGGGGCGTGGGGGACGGCCCACAAAGCCCCCCTTCCCATGAGGTCCCCGCCGCTCCCCCCCCCCCCAGCCCGGCTCAAACCCGCTTTCCACAAGGCTCCCGTGCGGCCGCCATCTTTCTTTCCAGAGAGGAGCGGGCGGGCTGGTCAACGCCCTTCCCCCTCCGGGCAGGCTTGGTGGCGCGGATCAACACAAGTCCATTTGCTTTTCTGCTCCAAGCGGCTGGTTCTCTGTGCTAAGTCCTTGTGCCTCCGGGGCCGTGGCCGTGCCGGAGAGCCGCTCGTGGGGGGCAGCTGGCGACCTCGGTGGGGCGTGGGGGACGGCCCACAAAGCCCCCCTTCCCATGAGGTCCCCGCCGCTCCCCCCCCCGAGCCCGGCTCAAACCCGCTTTCCACAAGGCTCCCGTGCGGCCGCCATCTTTCTTTCCAGAGAGGAGCGGGCGGGCTGGTCAACGCCCTTCCCCCTCCGGGCAGGCTTGGTGGCGCGGATCAACACAAGTCCATTTGCTTTTCTGCTCCAAGCGGCTGGTTCTCTGTGCTAAGTCCTTGTGCCTCCGGGGCCGTGGCCGTGCCGGAGAGCCGCTCGTGGGGGGCAGCTGGCGACCTCGGTGGGGCGTGGGGGACGGCCCACAAAGCCCCCCTTCCCATGAGGTCCCCGCCGCTCCCCCCCCCCCCCCGAGCCAGGCTCAAACCCGCTTTCCACAAGGCTCCCGTGCGGCCGCCATCTTTCTTTCCAGAGAGGAGCGGGCGGGCTGGTCAACGCCCTTCCCCCTCCGGGCAGGCTTGGTGGCGCGGATCAACACAAGTCCATTTGCTTTTCTGCTCCAAGCGGCTGGTTCTCTGTGCTAAGTCCTTGTGCCTCTGGGGCCGTGGCCGTGCCGGAGAGCCGCTCGTGGGGGGCAGCTGGCGACCTCGGTGGGGCGTGGGGGACGGCCCACAAAGCCCCCCTTCCCATGAGGTCCCCGCCGCTCCCCCCCCCGAGCCCGGCTCAAACCCGCTTTCCACAAGGCTCCCGTGCGGCCGCCATCTTTCTTTCCAGAGAGGAGCGGGCGGGCTGGTCAACGCCCTTCCCCCTCCGGGCAGGCTTGGTGGCGCGGATCAACACAAGTCCATTTGCTTTTCTGCTCCAAGCGGCTGGTTCTCTGTGCTAAGTCCTTGTGCCTCCGGGGCCGTGGCCGTGCCGGAGAGCCGCTCGTGGGGGGCAGCTGGCGACCTCGGTGGGGCGTGGGGGACGGCCCACAAAGCCCCCCTTCCCATGAGGTCCCCGCCGCTCCCCCCCCCCGAGCCCGGCTCAAACCCGCTTTCCACAAGGCTCCCGAGCGGCCGCCATCTTTCTTTCCAGAGAGGAGCGGGCGGGCTGGTCAACGCCCTTCCCCCTCCGGGCAGGCTTGGTGGCGCGGATCAACACAAGTCCATTTGCTTTTCTGCTCCAAGCGGCTGGTTCTCTGTGCTAAGTCCTTGTGCCTCCGGGGCCGTGGCCGTGCCGGAGAGCCGCTCGTGGGGGGCAGCTGGCGACCTCGGTGGGGCGTGGGGGACGGCCCACAAAGCCCCCCTTCCCATGAGGTCCCCGCCGCTCCCCCCCCCCCGAGCCCGGCTCAAACCCGCATTCCACAAGGCTCCCGTGCGGCCGCCATCTTTCTTTCCAGACTCATGAATGGGTTTTAAGCTACAATGTTCCAATACCAACTTCTTCTATGTCTGTCCCTCTCCCTCTGACCCATTTCTCTTAGCACGATACCTCTAGATCCCTCCTTAGATCAACAAATTGTATGGCAGCATCATTCCTGACAGCCAAGTAGTGTCTCACTGTGACTTGTCCTTATTTTAAACTTGTTTTGTGTTCACCTAAAACTTTACTATTTACCAAATTGTCTTTGATCGGCAGAAGCAGTTCAAGTTCTTCAGGCCCATTTGTGGTACCTGACCATCTCCGGCAGGATGTGGAAGAATTCGAAGCCCTGTATGAGCAGCACAGCGGAGAGTATGTTATCCGCAACAAGAAGCTATGGGACATTAACCCCAAGCAGAAGTGCTCGACTCTGTATGAGTGAGTATTCCATGATTCCTCCCATTGGGATTGCATACTTAAGCTGCCAGATGTTTTCAGTTTCTCACTCTCTATCCCTTTTTTTTTGTTTGTTTGTTTTTGCTTTTTGGGGTCACATCCGGCAGTGCTCCGAGGTTACTCCTGGCTCTGCACTCAGGAATTACTTCTGGCGGTGCTCAGGAAACCATATGGGATGCCGGGAATCGAACCCGGGTCGGGTCGGCCACATGCAAGGCGTTTGCATGTACTGTAGCTCTATCCACTGTACTGTAGCTCTATCCCTTATTTTTATGAAAGGGAATCCTTGGCTCATCTGCCCAGAGGGAGGAAAACGTAATTTCACAGGTTTTGTCGTCTAATATACCAAGTTAGTTGCATGTTCTTGGTGCCTGTGTTTAGAGCCCTCAGGATTAAACATAGATACCTTCTGCTGGTCACACTCTCGTTGTGCCCCAATGGGCCTGAGTGCCCAGTCAGTATCTCCTTGTTACGAATTCCCAAGGACATATTGGAGACAGAGGCGTGTGATGATTTGAATTTGTTGCCCTGTTGGTGGGAGCAGCTGCTTGACATCTCATAACAAGTGACATCTCATAACAACGTCACTTGAGGGAACCTGAGAGAAAAGGCAGATTTTGCTTGGCATTGGTCAGCACTGTGGGACGCCCTCGTTAGATGAGGCAGGGAGTGAAGTCTAGGTAAAGGCCTTCTGCTCTGGGCTCTCCCCGGCTTGCTGACATGTGGTCGCTCTTCTTTGTTGCGATGGGCAAGGCCGTGTTATAGCCCTTACTTATTTCTCTCTCCCATTTATTAATGTATTTTACTTCACAAAAATGAAAAACAATACAAAAATCTGCAATAAACATTAAAGGTGAGAGGCCAGAGCTTAGTACATAAGTATGGTGCTTGCCTTGCTTGCAGACGAAGTGGGTTCAATCCCCGGCATCCCTTTTGGTCCCATGATGAGTGACTGAAATGATTTCTATACTAAGAGTAATCCCTGAGTACAGCTGGGAGTGGTGATGGGGGGCAAAAGCAGGAAGGGGGCGGGAAAAAAATTTTAATTTGAATGCTGAGAGTCTTCTGAGAAAACTTTGACTCAGTCCATTCTTTCTTCCCTCCTTAGTTCATCCCAGATATTCGGTGACAGGGGCTAGAGTGATAGCACAGCGAGTGGGTAGGGCGTTTGCCTTGCACACGGCTGACCCAGGTTCAATTCCCAGCATCCCATATGGTCCCCTGAGCACCGTCAGGACTAATTCCTGAGTGCAGAGCCAGTAGTAACCCCTGTGCATAGCCAGGTGTGAGCAAAAAAGAAAAAAAAACAGATGTTCGGTGACAGACTCTTGGTTTTCTTGGGAGTTGAAGTGTAAATGACAGATATTTCTAGAGATTCTTGAACAGTTGAGTACATAGATAGTTACATTTTTATTATAAGTGGTAATAACTTGACATGGGAATAAAAGGCTTCATGTGCTTTTTCTTTCTTTTTTTTCTTTTTTACCGACTTCCTCGAAAATAAGTTCTCCTCCTTGTTAGCACTCAATGTTATATATTTTCCTTCCTGGTATGGTAGAGATAGAATACCCTCATTTGGTTTGGCTTTTTTTTTGGCGGGGGGGGGGGGGGGCCTGCTCCCCAAACACACAAAAAGTAATACTTTTATTAATAAGCATGTGAAATAGTATCTTCTTTAGGAGACCTTTGGTAAACTTTTTTTTTTAATCAGATAAACACGTACCAGTACTTCGTTGCCTTAACTCATGTAAATATCAATTTTTCTCAGTTACTTTTCCCAGTTGCTGGAGGAACACGGTCCCTTGGACACAAGTAACAAGATGTTCTCCGAGGAATACGAGTTCTTTCCCGAAGAAACCCGACAGATCCTGGAGAAAGCGGGCGGCTTGAAATCCTTCCTCCTGGCCTGCCCTCGGTTCGTCTTAATCGACAACTGCATTGCGCTGAAGAAGGTCGCCTCCCGCCTCAAGAAGAAGAGGAAGAAGAAGAACATGAAAACCAAAGTGGAAGAAATCTCCAAATCCGGAGAGTTTCTGCGCAGCAAACTCCCTCTGAATCCAGCCGCACGGGAGTTCAAACCCGACGTCAAGCCTAAGCCAGTGTGTGAAGCCCCTCCGGTGCCATCGTCGGAGACGCCCGGGGCGGGACCTGCCAATCCTCCCGCAGCAGCCAGGGATGCTCTGAAGCCCAAGCCCGTCCCCAACCATCCTTCCGGCCCAGTTTCCAAGGAGGAGGCCCCCAAAGCCGCCACCTCCGATGCCACCGCCCCCGTGTGCGAGGAGGCTGCTCCCCAGCATGGGGCGGAGGCCGTGAAGCCCACCTACTGGACCCAGCCCCAGCTCGTCACGGGATACTGCACCTACGTCCCCTTCCAGGGCTACGGCCTCTCCCAGACACCGCCCGGCTACATCAACGTTATCACCAGCGTGCCACAGTACACCAATGTCTACACTCCGGTGGCCGGTGTCGCTCCCGAGTACCCGCTGCAGGCTCCGGTGCCCGTGGTGCCCTCGATCGGGGCCAGCACTGCGGCCGAGGCCGGCACTCAGGGTCTCGAGGGTACCCCGCTGAATGCTGAGGGCATCCCTGCGAGCCAGGGGCCGTCGGAAACGCAGGTCCTACCGGTCACCCCGGCACCCCCTGCCGAGCCTCTGACTGGCACCGATGATGCACCTGGCAAAGCCCACAGTGAAGCAAGCGGAGAAGGCAGCCACGGCGAAGGCGGTGTGGGCAGTGCCAGCCACGTGGCAGATGTTCCACAGACAAAAGTGGCTGCTACACAGGTGATTCTTAAACAGGAGTGCCACAGACTGGGGGGGGGGGGGGGGCGGTGTACAAGGAAGCACCTTAACCTCCTGGACTATCTTTCCAGCCCAGGAAGAACATCTTTTTAAATGCTTCCACTTGATTATTTTTTGTTTGTTTGTTTTTATGTTTTGGTCACACCCAGCGATGCGCAGGGGTTACTCCTGGCTCTGCACTCAGGAGTTACTCCTGGCGGTGCTCAGGGGACCATATGGGATGCTGGGAATCGAACCCGGGTCGGCCGCTTGCAAGGCAAATGCCCTACCCGCTGTGCTATCTCTCCAGCCCGTCAATGCTAGTTTTTAACAAATCAGTTTAGGGACTATTGCTCCAGCCCTTTCTGCTTTATTTTTGACTGCTTTATATTTATTCAGCTACTTCATAGTAATTGATTTTATTGTGGTTAGTGAGGCCACCTAGAAAAATTTGGGTTTGGGGCCATATCCATAGAGAGGTGCTCATCGCTTCGTCCTAACTCTGTGCTCAGGGATCAGTCCTGATGGGCTCGGGGACCCTGTGGGATGCTGGGGATTGAAGATGGGCCAGGCGAGTACAAGCCAAGGGCGCTGTACTTTCTCTCTGGTCCCTCACTTAAAAATATTTTTAAATTTTTTACGGAGTCTGACAGAGTCTTCGGTCCCTTTTCCCTCTACTCAGTGTTTGCACAGACAGTGGTGTCTGCGGATGTGATCTTCTTAGGGCCCATAAGCGAGGATCGAGAGATGACTGCAGCTGTTGAGGGTTTGTCCCCACGTGAGAGGTAGCCACGTTGACTTTAGCTCCACATTACACCGGGGTACTCCCAGCTGAGGGTGCTCCCTTGTACGACTGAGCACAGGCAGTAAAGAGGAGGGAATATGTTACTTACACACACAGAGACTCACACACGGCCCCACTGGAGAGCAGAGGCAGTAAAAGAGGAGGAGGGGAGTATGTTTTACACACACACACACACACACACACACACACACACACGGTTCCTTCCTTGCCAGCGTGAGCAGGGATTTTAGTTTCTCCAGAGGTGATGCTATTGGGCTTGGCTCCATTGCATTCGTGCTGGATTTTCCTTCTGCTCCTTCAATTAGCTTTCTAGATTATTATAAAAAAAGTTGGATAATAATGCTAAATACTCATTTTTACTTGACTAGTACAGGTATTTTTAGGAAAGCGTAAACTATTAACTAAATTCCCCCTCCTCAATCTTGAAAGTATTGTTTCACATTTCTTGGTGTTATTACATGATGGATTTATTTTTCTGGAGTAATTGAGACATTAAATGTTTGTTTTTTTCCCTAAGGTGTCTTGGGATATAATGAATCAAGAAGTCAATACTGAGCCCTATGATCCTTTTGAGACTAAACAGGTGAGTTAAAAACCATACTCAAGTGCTATCTTGCATTATTTGAAAAAAAATCATATTAAACTGTTTAACAATTTAATTTTTATTAGCTGAATAGAAATGACACGCTAGAATTAGTTTGGAGCAAGCTAATTGCGTATAAGTTTTAGAACATAAAAACTAAATTTATGTATATAAACATACATAATATAAGGAATTTGGGAAGGGGAGTAAGAGTGGAAGAAAAATTTCTTCATCGCTTACTTATTTCAAAGTATAGTGGTTTTATTACTTTAAATGTATAAATGACACTTTCCTAAGTTAGGATTTATTCACATTAATAATGTGGATGCATTATTAATAATGTGGATGCATTATAAAGACTGTCACCACCTTAAGGATGATTCAGTTGAAATATCATTATGTTCCCTGTGTTAATATATTAAAAGTTATTTGGAACCAGAATAGTACAGCGTGAAGGGCACTTACCTTGTATACGGCCACTTTGGTTTGATTTCCTGAACACCGCTTAAGAGTAATTTCTTAACACCACTGGGTGTAGCCCAAAAACCAAAAAGGAAAATTCTGTTGTTTATTTCTTGTTTTTGGGCCACACCCAAAGATGTTCAAAGATTACTTCTGGCTGTGCACTCAGAATTACTCTTGGTGGGGCTCAAGGGACAATACGGGAAGCTGGGGATCGAACCTGGTTTGCCCGCATGCAAAGCAAACACTCTACCCACTGCACTATTACTTCTGTCCCTTTTAAAAATATAATGGAGGGAGAAACATATATATGTATATATAATAGAGGGGGGCTGGAGTGATAGCACAGCGGGTAGGGCGTTTGCCTTGCACACGACCAACCCGGGTTTGATTCCCAGCATCCCATATGGTCCCCCTGAGCACCGCCAGGAGTAATTCCTGAGTGCATAGCCGGAAGTAACCCCTGTGCATCGCTGGGTGTGACCCAAAAATCAAAATAATAAACAAGAATAATAATATAGATTTAATCAACTCTATAGTTGCTGAAAAGGTTTTTGATAAAATTCAAATCACATTCACTAAAACAGAAAATGGAAATAGGTGAATATTCTCAACAGGTTACTATTTCTCAAAAGCCTTAAAATGTTTTGTTTGCAAGAGGCACTGCGTGGGTCCCCAAACACCACTGGGTTTGGTCCAGCAAACCCCAAAACAGTGAGCAGATAACCCTTAGGACTGTGTTAAAAATAATAGCTGAAAAATGGTGGGAAAACCTGGGGTGTAGCTTAGCAGTAGACACTTTGCCTGGCATGTGTTAAGCCCTGGATTTCATCCCTACCACTGCAAAAGGGGAAAAAAAGAACAAATCTTAAATGAGAAAAAGAGGTAAGGTTGTATCCATGATAAATAATGTGGTACATTTTGGAACTTGTGGAGAATAACGTTCAGACTGACTGTGAAACCTGCTGAAACAAATATTCAGAACGTATTGTACTGGTGGAAAAGTTTCAGCATGAATTAATGGGCTGTTTTTATTAAACTGTGTTTAGAGGTTTTTAAGTTTTGAATTATTGTGGTATTTCTTCTGTAAATTTTCACCTGCCTTTTTATTGTGCTTTATATAAAGATGGTTCAGAACCAGATCAGAGACATTTTAACAAACTGCTTACAGTCGATGATTTTTGTCATTTTACTTTTAGGGGGATATTTCAGAGATTGAAAAGGAGTACCATGTTCTACAAGAGCAGCTTCAGGAAGCTTGTGACAATTACGAGCAGAAAAAACTCCAGGGTTCAGAAGAGACCAAGGATTTGGAAGAAAAGTTGACACGGAACTTGGAAGAAAACAAGGTAATCCTGTCCGAAGGGTCTGTGTCAGTCAGCGCATGGCACCCTGAGCAGAGCCTTATTCATGAACTTAAGTGAACTGAAATTCACTCAGCTGCCACATTGCATGTGAGACAAAGGATCCATCCTATGCATTGCCTGCTCCTGTTAAACTTAAATCTGTATTCTGGTAACTAGTTTGAGCTCAGGTATTTTCCGTATATTGAGAGAGTAAATAGTGCACATTTAGGGCATTTGCACATGGCTGACCTGGGTTTAATCCCTGGAATCCCATATGGTCCTGAGTCCCTCCAGGAGTAAGCCCTGAGCACTATCGGTTTGGTCCCAAAATAAAACAGTAAAACAAAATTCTTTTCCATATTGAGAGTTAGTGTGAGTGGGCTGGAGCGATAGCACAGCGGGTAGGGCATTTACCTTGCACGCGGCTATCCCAGGTACGATTTCCAGCATCCCATATGGTCCCACGAGCACTGCCAGGAGTAATTCCTGAGTGCAGAGCCAGGAGTAACCCCTGAGCATCAATCGGTATGACTTAAAAAGCAAAAATAAATAAATAATAAATTAAAAAATAAGATCTTCTGTAAGCAAGGGGATATTAATTAAGAAAGAAATTATTCCAAAAGTCTGGATCAATAGCTAGGGGATCATATGAAATGGAAGGAAATTAGCTTAAAGTTGGACCTTCATCAGATCACACATGTATTCAGATTCGTTGTTTGCAGAAGAAAAGGGCCAGTTTGTCAAGGTTACAAACTGTCTAGGACTGACTGACACTTGCCCTGTGGCTGAAGAGATTTGAAAGATGGAAACAGCTGGAATCAGAGTCGATGCTTGGTTTCCTGTTCTTAATAATCAGAAGAGGGAAATAAAATTAAGGCTACCTAGCATAGTGTGGATGGATCACACGTTTGAAAAAGCTACTTGGGGGAAGACTGAACCAAATGAAATCTATTTTATAGCATGTGGTGATATTTGGTCAAAGGGACAAAGTAAATGCTTTTTACCTCCAGGGGCCGGGTTTGATCCACGGAATTCCATAGTCTCTGGAGTACCTCTGACCCCGGCACTGCTAGGTGTGGCCCAAGAAACTGAATCATGTTCTTTATAAGTTTTGCATGACCTGGAAGATTCAGGTTCCATACATTCATGCTGGGGAGCACATGCTTTGTATGCGAGAACCCTGAGTTCAGTCCACCAGTACACACAAGGGCTGTCTCCCCTCACTCACCCTGCGGCCAATTGTGCCCCCCCCCCCCAAAAAAAAAAGGTGTGGGTTACATTCATGTGGGGATGCATGTAGCCACACAGGAGGCGGGTGTAGGAACCGCAGCTGCTGACGGTGGACAGCTGGGGGGGGGGGGGGGAGTAAGTGGGATTTCCATCTGGCTTGAGGCCTTTCCCATTTCCGAATTTGTTCTGCGCGCATCCTATGTACTCTTCTTCCTTTGTGTGCTTGAGAGGTTAGAGTGTCAAGCACGCAGGGGAGAGGCGGTGAGAGCCCCCGCTCTGCTTGGCCTCGTCTTTGAGTCTGTGAGCCTGATTTCCCCGGCTCTTCTCAAGAGTGTCGGCCGGTTTTTAAGAAGAGCCGGTGCCCCGTCTGTCTCCCTGGCTTTCTGGCATATGCAGTACACACCTGTTTCTGTGCAGGGGAGGCTGACTCGGTTTGCTCTCCAGCAGAGCAGAGGAGAGCTATGGTCGTTCGTGAACCATGGTTGTGCTCGTGGTCTGCGTGTGGAGGGACCCTTCGCACACACAGAAGGCAGGGCTGTGTGTCTGGCCCGGTCAGCAGGAGAAGCTTGCTGTGTCATCCTAGGCTGCTTGCGTGTGCGTAGGATTTTCCATGACTGAACCACATGCATGAGTGTTTCTTACACCTCGTGCCTGTGGATACCTGCCAAGTAGGTTCTTCTGCCCTGGCATAACTTGGTTTGCACGTCACCGCCCAAGGACTGGTTCCACAGTGAAATCACTGGCTCGGAATAGAAGCAGAGCCGAATGGCAAGGCATGCTGTGGCCAGCGGCCACGGGACAGGAGTGACTCGGGTAGAAGCAGGCTTTCCAGACGGGCCAGCCTGGGTGTCGTCAGCGTGGAGATGAGTCCGCACTCGGGCTTGCAGAGGACATGAGGATGGCTGTCCCCAGGCCAGAGGCCACGGCACGGACGTGTCCTTGGAGCTCTGCTGCCTAAGAACACCTCCTGGGCCCTTGACTGGTCAGCACAGCGGCTCCCAGGAGCACGGAAAGCCTCACGGATGGAGTGTCCTGAGGTCTTTCTCAGTGCTGACCTCACTGCCAATATTCCCTGCGGGCTTTGTGGGTCCACTCTGGGTCCTCTCCCTACGGAGGAGACTCCGAATTCCTTCAGCTGAGCTGGTCCTCGTGACCCAATGGGCAGAGCCTGAGCAGGAAGCTCAGACTCCAGAACACAGGTGTGTGGGGTGGAGGGGATACAAGCCCCTGAGCAGAAGAGATAAGCTCCCATTGCTGAACATTTAGCTGCTTTCTTTTGGTTTGAGTTTTTTGGGTTTTTTTTTTTTTTCAATCAGTACTGCTTTATTTTCTCCTCATATTAATGATCAGAAACACTACTACAGAGAATGTTTTCTTTGTACATGACCGGTGTGGACACACAGGTGCCCTCTGAAAGTATTGCTGGTTTTCAACAGCCGGCCCTGTTGAAAAGAGATATAAAACTTGTAGAGAATTCTCAGGTTCAGAAGAAGTTGGGTTGGGTTTTATTTTGGGAGGTAGGGACTGGCATTTTGAGTCACACCCAGCTGTGCTCTGGGATCACTCCTGGCAGTGCTAGGGATTGAACGGGGTTTTGCCACATGGCAAAACAAGTGCCTTGACTTCTGAATTCCCTCTCCAGCCACCAGAACTGCTTTACCTGCTATTCCCTCTCCCCTCTCTCGCCTTCTCCCTCACCCCAGCCCCCAGAATTTTTTAAAAAGCAACACCTGGGGTTGGAGTGACAGCATAGCTCGTAGGGCGTTTGCCTTGCACGAGCCAACCCGGGTTTGATTCCCAGCATCCCATATGGTCCCCTGAGCACCACCAGGGGTAATTCCTGAGTGCATGAACCAGGAGTAACCCCTGTGCACCACCAGGTGTGACCCAAAAAGCCAAAACAAACAAACAAACAAACAAAAAAAAAAAAAAGCAACACCTGGGCAGCGAGGAGGCCCCAAGGAGCTGGAGTATATACTGGAGTATGTGCAGATCCGGGTTAGCCCCCTAGCCAGAGTGATAGAACAGCAAGGTGGGCACCTGGAGGTTCCAAGCTCCATCCCTGGCACCCAAGTGGTCACTCAAGCACCACTTTTGCCACCACCACCCCCAATAGAAAATAGACCACTGGGGCTGGAGCAATAGCACAGCTGGTGACTCAGGTCAGCAGCGTGCATGACAGATACCCTTCCCATTGTGCTGTCTCTGTCCTCTTTCTTTTTTAGGGGTGGGGGTGTGTCAAGCCTGGCAATTCTCAGGGTTACTCCTGACTCTGTGCTCAGGAATTAGTCCTGATGGTGCTCGGTAGACCATACTGGATACCAGGGATCAAAGGCAAGTAGGCCACTTGCAAGGCAAATGCCCTGTCTGGCCTATCCCTCCGGGCTTCTCTGTTCTTGTTCTGGTTTGCTGCTGAGAGAGCAGGGAGGTCTGAGCCCTTGTTTGGTATGACACTGCATCTCGGGCTCAGAAGGATTGTAGCTTGCTGTGACTAGCTGCTTGCTCTGCTGGGCATGGAGTCGTTGATGGAAAGGAAGCAGTTACAGCATTCCAGTATTAGGCTCACAGGTAGACTCACAGGTAGAGCACTGAGCTGGGAGTGACCCTGTGTATGGTCCACTGTGCCTGTGAAACCAAACCAAAAAAAGTAAAATCTTCCCGTATTCATTTAACTCCTTTTTTTTTTTTTTTTTTTTAGATTTCAAAGACTGAACTAAATTGGTTCCTTCAGGACTTGGAAAAGGAAGTCAAAAAATGGCAGCAGGAGAAGAAAGAAATTCAAGAAAAACTCAAAGCCCTGAAGAAGAAGATGAAAAAGGTTTTAAATGCCAGTGAAAAGTAAGCAACAAGTGAAAGGCAGTCGGATTTTTATGGTTCATTGTGGTTTGAAGTGGGGGTTGTATTTTGGGGTATTTTTGACATCTTTGATGTTCACTTTCAAATTACGCCAGTAAATACTTCGAGTATCTGGGGCCAGAGTGATACTGCAGCAGGTGCGGCACTTGCCTTGCATGTAGTCGACCTGCGTTTGGTCTCTGGCACCCCAGCTGGTCCTCTGAGCCTGCCAGGAGTGATCCCACCGGGTGTGCTCCAAAAAGCAAAACAAAATTGACATGATCCTTTTTATCGCTTAAGGAACATGTATTTGGGAATTATCTCCCTAAAATGGTTTTTCCAGCTGCTGTGTTTTTAGGGAAACTAACGTGCAAATCAGCCAAGGACTCGCTGGCTGCACAGCCTCCGTCTCTGTGAGCTTACAACTCGGACCCTCTCTTTCCTTCTCTGTCAAGTGAGGGCCCTGGGCCACATCCATAGTACAGTGGGCCGGGAGCTTGCCTCATAGCCGGCCGACCCACCCTCAGTCTTAAGCACTCCGTATACCACCCTGAGTACCACCGAGCAGTAATTCCTGGGTGCAAAGACTGGAGTCACCCCCAAGCATTGCTGGGATTGCCCCCCTATCTCCCCCCAAAAAATATAGCCTGAGACTAGTCTCTCGGGTTCTACCTAAAGCTAAGGTTCTACAAAGGTTGTGATATTTATATTGCTAATATTCTGAATGTAAAATTTGTTTAATTTGACTTTATAGTTTGAAGAACCTTTAATACATCATAGATACTGAGATTGTCAGATGGGCCAGATTTGTTTGAAGATTCTCTTAACCTGTCTCTAACTGTCTCTCTTTCCCCAGACGGATGATATACGGATTCTGAGCTTATTATCCACCACTGTGTAACAAACTCAGTGGTTGAGTTAATGACCCTTTAATTGAATCCTAATACAGCCTGGGCTGATTTTAGCTGTTCTGTTGGTTTTGCCCGTGAATTAACATATTGTCAACTCAGACATACTATCGAACTAGACAAAACAGATGAAGCACTTGATAAGAAAACTTTTTTTTGTTTTGTTTTGTTTTGTTTTGGGGCCACCTCCTGGAGCGATAGCACAGCGGTAGGGCGTTTGCCTTGCACACGGCCATCATGGCTGACCCGAGTTCGATTCCTCCGCCCCTCGGAGAGCCCGACAAGCTACCGAGAGTATCTCACCCACATGGCAGAGCCTGGCAAGCTACCTGTGATGTATTCGATATGCCAGACACAGTAACAACAAAGTCTCCAATGGAGACGTTACTGGGCCCGCTCGAGCAAATCGATGAACAACAGGAGGACAGTGACAGTGACCCTGCAGTGCTCAGGGGTTATTTCTGGTTCTGCACTCAGGGATCACTCCTGGTGGGGCTTGGGGAACCATATGGGATGCTGGGGATCGAACCCAGGTCAGTTGTGTGGCAGAAAAATGCCCTACCCACTATACTATGACTTCAGTCCCAAAAAAATGTTTTCTGTGTTAGCATGCAAACTGCTTCCACAAACAGATTTGTCAGTTGCTTTGTAACTACATGGGATAGAATTGCTGACAATAAATTACAAAAGACTATAGGAATTTTTTTTTTAATTTCTTCTTAAAGCCTACTTATTCTTCCCTCAGGCTGACCACGGTGTGGGGGTGGGGGAGACTCTTTAGAACATAATAGAAATGAAAGCAAATGTATTAGAAGAAATGTTTTCATGGATATGGTAAGCATTTGTTCTGTGGGATCGTGTTTTTAAAATCCTTGAGAATTAAAATTTCGTGGTTATCCTTACAATAGGCTTACTGAGAAAAATGAGGAAAACGATGAAAATGATAAGAAACATGACTTCTTCCTGGATGAGTCTCCTGAAATCAGGCAAGTTGGGGTTCTTTGTAGACAGGGCAGGTGGGTGGCGTCACCCAATGACACTGGCTAGCCAGGCTGTGTAGGTCGATGCTAAGACCAGAAGGTTCTGGGGGGTTCGGCAGCATAGCTGATGGTCCAGGGGCTTGACAGCATGTGCCCTTTCCGTGTTTCCAGTATTTATCTGTAGGTAGGGTGTTTGCCTCGCACGAGGCCGACCCAGGTTCGATTCCTAGCATCCCATGTGGTCCCCCGAGCACCGCCAGTTGTAATTCCTGAGTGTAAAGCCAGGAGAAAATCCTGTGCATCGCCGGGTGTGACCCAAAAATCCTCCCCCCCCCCCAAAAAAAAGTTTATTACTATGGGCCAGAGCGATAGCACAGCATGTGGAGTGTTTGCCTTGTATATAGCCAATCTGGGTTTATTCTCTGCCACGTATGGTTTTCCCAAGCCCTGACAGGAATAATCCCTGAGCATGAGCTAGGTGTGGCCCACAAATTTTTCTGTTGTTGTCTTAAAGTGTATTACTATAGAGAGATTAACAAATCACTTTTTGGCCTGGAGTGATAGCATAGCATGTAGGGCGCTTGCCTTGCACGCGGCAGACCCGGGTTCGATTCCCAGCATCCCATATGGTCCTCCAAGCACCGCCAGGAGTAATTCCTGAGTTCAGAGGGAGGAGTAACCCCTGAGCATCACTGGGTGTGACCCAAAAAGCAAAAAAAAAAAAAAATCACTTTTCCCTTTTTGGTTATTTCCTTATTGGTCAGAATAGAATTTCTGACTTAGAATGAAGGGTTACCTATAAAATATGTTGTTATTGCCAGGCCATATTCTACCTGCCCTCACAGAAAGAGTGAACCAGTTTCTCAAATTCCCACCAGTGGTTTGAATTCCCAATCTTCCTCTGATCATTTGTAAAACACACAACACCCACGTGTGAGTCTGTGTACTAGACAAGAATTTAGAAGATGTTCTATGTATGTCTGTGGCATCATTTCAAAGCTGGGCTTAAACTCTGATAACCTCATGGTTAAGCTTTTTGCAAGACCTTTGTTTTTCCCTTCCCATTTGCAGTAACCCATTCTCTGATGAGAAAATGCAGATTGAGGACTGCATAAAAAAAGGCAAGGAAAACTACGAAGAGAGCCTTAGCCGAGCGATGTCTGCAGAGGTGAGTCCAGGATGCTGCGGGACCAACAGGTTGGCTCGCGGCAGCCCCTGAAAGAAACGCAGCTAACCAGGAGAGCAATGTCTCAGCTAGTAGTGTGACCTCGGAGGGGCCGCGTGTGAGCGCCACAGCTATGTGCAAGCCTCTGCACTGTGCGAGGGACACAGGCGTCACACTGTATCAAATTTTATAAAATCTGCAAGTTGCCACGGCCTGGCATGTGCACCCCCCAGTCATGCAGCAATGAGATGGCAGGCAGGCGGTTCTTGGGGACAAAAATAAGTTGATTTGCTTAGGGTTCGTTCTGGTGGATAAGTACTCCCAGTGCTCACCTGTCTGTATTTGTGTTCTGTGTCTTGAGAAATGATCCCCGAGGGTACCTCGTTGTTACCTGACTTTGGTCCTCATTTCCAGAGCTAGAAATTTTCAGCGTCTTCACTTGTGTGAAACAGTAACATAATCTGGTGCTTCTGATCTCAGAGTGTTATATGAGGGCAATGGTGAAGGTGACCGTTTATATCGTTTCCGCTTACCAACCTTACAAGCGTTTACGCTTTTCCGTTTTGAGATCACTAAGGCGTTCTTGGGTGTAATGATAGGTCTCTGTGCTCGAAACCTGGAAGGAGACGGAGATGTACAAGTTGCAGATCCTGGAGTCACAGGCTGAGGCATACCTGAAGAACCTCAAGCTCGTGAGCAGGTGTGGTCCCGCATCTCCCCTGTAACGCAGTAGATTGGCTAGAACTGATAGCAGGGGGTATCTTCTATTAGACAAGACCCCTTTGTTTTTTTTTGTTTTTTTTTTGTTTGTTTGTTTTTTTTTTTTTTTTTTTAGTGAAACACCATGAGGTACAGTTGTAGACTTAACAAACTTTCATGCTTGGGTTTCAGTTATACAATGGTTGAGTACCCATCTCTCCACCAGTGCCCATTCTCCACCACCAATGATCCTACTAGCCCTCTCACACTCCCACCCCCACCCCACCCCGCCTCTGTGGCAGGGCATTCCCTTTTGCTCAGCCTTTCCCTTAGAGCGTTGTAGTTTGCAGTAGAGGTTTTGAGTGGCCATCATGTTCGATAGACAAGACCCCTTTAATAGTTATGTAACCGGTACATGTTCACTTGTTGGAAAAAATCAAGACATATCAGCAAAATTAGATTCATGATTTTACATTGATGTGTGGTTCGTTCATATTTTGGAATAAATTCATTACTATGTGGGGAAAAGGCAAAGCATATTAGAAAATGTGATTTTTATTTTTATTTTTTTTTTGTTTTTTTTGGTTTTTTTTGTTTGCTTTTTGGGTCACACCTGGCGATCCACAAGAGTTCCTGGTTTATGCACTCAGGAATTACTCTTGGCAGTGCTCAGGGGACCATATGGAATGCTGGGAATTGAACCTAGGTCGGCTGCATGCAAGGCAAACGCCCTACCCGCTGTTCTGTTGCTCTAGCCCCAATTTTTTTGTTTTATTTGCCCAGGGCCCAACTCTTGGCAGGGCTATAGGGACCATATGGAATGCAGGGAATTGAACCCAGGTCAGCAGTGTGCAGTGCAAGCAGCTTCCCCACTATACTATCTCTCCGGCTGCAACTTCACTCTCTAATAGCTGTGTCTACGGGCCAGAGCGATAGTACAGGGGAACGTTTGCCTTGCACACAGCCGACCTGGGTTCCATCCCGGGCATCCCTATGGTCCCTTGAGCCCGCTAGGAGTGATCCCTGCATAGCCCCAAATCATAAATAATAAAAAATGTGCATGTGTGTTATCAATCCTATTAAATGTATCTCTCATGTTTGGTTTTCTTGGTAGTTTTTCACATGTTTTAAATTGATCACCATTAATCATTTCTTATTTTCCTTCCTGTTCAGTGATTCTGCAGCATATCCTGACATAGAGTCGGACATACAGTCCTGGGAATCATTCCTTTCGGATGTCCAAAAAGAAACTGAGAAAGCGAAGGTAAGATACACGCTTTATAACTCTGTCTGAATCTGTGGGTGTAGTTGTATATGATTCTGGGAGGCCAGTGTCAGACTGAAACTTTGACCTTGTTAAAGGCGTTTTTGGTTTGACATTTGTAGGCGAATATATTACAAAGCTGGTGATACTTTCTTTAGGAGCAGTCTGGAACTTTGTCCTTGAATGGCAAGATAGGAGTAGTTGTGTTTCTAAGCTGTGTAACATACTGGTTAATTTTTTTGTTTCCTTCACAAGAAGTCATTGTTTTAATTCTTTACGTGGGTGGGGAGGAGAAGGGTGATGTTTAGGGGTCACTTCTTCTGGCTCTGCACTTAGGAATTACTCCCGGCGGTGCATGGGGAACCTTAAGGGATACTGGGGCTCAAACGCCCTTCCCGCTCGCTGTACAATCGCTCCAGCCCTTTTGTTTTGACATTTTACATTTTATTTATCCTCCTTAGAAAATCAGTGACCATTCGTGATGTCTTAAGAAGAAGAGATTCGTCCCAATTGATAATCATGGTTTTCCCTACGTAAGTTGTAGCAATACTTCACGCTTTTCCTCTTCCTACAGGTTCAGTTTGAAGAACAAATTAAGGAAATTAAAAATGGCTCTCGGCTGAGTGAACTTTCCAAAATACAGATTTCCGAGCTTTCGTTCCCGGCCTGCAGCACGGTAGGTCATCCCGTCTTTTGGTTTGAAGGCAGGCATGCATAATGAAGTACAGCTTATTCCTTTGGTGTTTTCAGGTGCCAGGGATTGAGCCAAGGGACTATGAGGCAGGCGCTGGGCCACTGAGCCACAGCCGTGGCCCTTTTCTCTGGGCTCAGGTCACCCCTGATAGGGCAGGGTCCATGTGGTGCTGCGCACTGAAGCCCGGTCAGCGCTTTACCCCCTGCACTGTCTCTCCAGCCCTCTTTCCATTTGCTGATGGTGCAATTAGTTTGCGTGGAATCACTTAAACTTCCTCTGACTTCCTTGGCAAAAGAAAAATTTGTTCCGCTTTTGAAAGTTTTCTCGTCTTGATCTGGAGAAAAATTTTGGTTTTTTGTTTGTACTCTTAGAGGCTCAACCCAGGATGCTCAGGGGTTGCTCGTGGCTCTGCACTCAGGAATTACTCCAGCAGTGCTCAGGAGTTATTCCTGGCATGCTTGGGGGTCTATATGGGATGCTGGGAATCAAACCCAGGTGGGCTGCATGCTAGGCAAAGACCCTCCCCACTGTACTATCACTCGAGCCCTGAGTTTTGTTTCAATGAGGAGAATAGATTCTGAATTTAAGAAGACGGGTTGGAGCAGGTAGTCCCAAAACAAAACAAAACCAAAAAAAAAAAGCCATTTTTCTCTTCAGGGAACTAAGAAGAAATATTTTTGGGTGGGGGTTTGTTTGTTTGTTTTGTCTTTGCTTTTTGGGTCACACCCAGCAATGCTCTGGGGTTACTCCTGGCTCTGCACCCAGGAATTACTCCTGGCGGTGCTCAGGGGACCATATGGGAGGCTGGGAATCAAACCAGGCCGGCTACATGCAAGGCAAGCGCCCTACCGGCTGTACTATATAGCTCCAGCCCCCCAAGAACAGTCTTATTTAAAGTGAAGGTCCTGGGGCTGGAGAGATAGCACAGCGGGTAGGGCGTTTGCCTTGCACTTGGCCAACCCGGGTTCGGTTCCCAGCATCCCATATTGTCCCCCGAGCACCGCCAGGAGTAATTCCTGAGTGTAAAGCCAAGAGTAACCCCTGTGCATCACCGGGTGTGACCCAAAAAGCAAAAAATAATAATAATCACGGTCACGGTCCTCCCATTGTTCATTGATTTGCTCGAGTGGGCCCAGTAACATCTCCATCGTGAGACTTGTTGTTACTGTGTTTGGCATATCGAATACGTCACGGGTAGCTTGCCAGGCTCTGCCATGCGGGCGAGATACTCTCAGTAGCTTGCCGGGCTCTCCGAGAGGGGCGGAGGAATCGAACTCGGGTCAGCCATGTTGGCTGCATGCAAGGCAAAAGCCCTACCGCTGTGCTATCGCTCCAGCCCAATAATAATAATAAAGTGAAGGTCTTTTATGGTTTTTGACATTCTTAGAGCAGATATTGAGAGGAAAACATTTGAATCCCAGTTAAATTATTTACTTCCTTTTATCAGTACATAAAAGAATCTTGTATTCAGCATCCTCAGCCAGAGAGACAGTGGGGGCTGCTTGTTCTCTCCTTGCATATAGCAGAGCTGGGTTTCACCCCAGCACCACCAGGAGTGATCCCTACGCACAGCGCCAGCAGGAAGCCCCGAGCACCTCTGGATGTTGACTAAGAATCAAAAAAATACACAGAATGCTGAGGCTTCTTTAGTCGTCCTGAACGCTTGAGTATTCTCTCTTTAAAAACCTTACATATGGGGGCTAGAGCAATAGCATAGTGGGTAGGGCGTTTGCCTTGCACGTGGCCGACCCAGTTTCAATCCCTGGCATCCTATGTGGTCCCCTGAGCACAGCCAAGAGCAATTCCTTAGTTAGTGCAGAGCCAGGAGTAACCACTGTGTGTCGCTGGGTGTGACTTAAAAAGAAAAGGAAAAGAAAATGGGGGAAAAAAACCAACCTTATGTATGTGTTAATTCTCCTTCTTTCAATTCGGTGTTCTTGGTTGTCAAAATTGAATGTGGTCTGTGTCGTTCAAAACATTCAGCAGTTCGGGGCTAGAGCGATAGCACAGCAAGTAGGGCGTTTGCCTTGCACGCAGCCAACATGGGCGACCCGAGTTCGATTTTCAGCATCCCATATGGTCCCCTGAGCACCGCCAGGAATAATTCCTGAGTGCATGAGACAGGAGTAACCCCTGAGCATTGCCGGGTGTGACCCAAAAAGCCAAAAAAAAAAAAATTCAGCAGTTTGAGAAAAGGGAATTTGAGCCTTTTATTAAAGACAAGTTGGGGGCTGGAGAGATAGCACAGCGGGTAGGGTGTTTGCCTTGCACACGGCCGACCCGGGTTCAATTCCCAGCATCCCATATGGTCCCCTGAGCACTGCCAGGAGTAACTCCTGAGTGCAGAGCCAGGAGTAATCCCTGTGCATCTCCAGGTGTGACCCAAAAAGCAAAAAAAAAAAAAAAAGACAAGTTTGCCGGGGCTTCCCACAGGGGCACAGAAAGCAGTAGTAACATAAATGAGAACACATTCATCTAGAGCTGTCTCTCAGACTTACTCCAGCCTTGGACCCTTCCAACCTGGCGTCCTTCCCCGGGTCCTTTGTCCTGCTGGTTAGCCCCATCTCCATGGGTTTCACCTGTGCCTCTTGGAATCCCCTAGGAACGAGGACTTGGGGGGCTGTAGGCCCTGCCATTGAGGACTGCTGGCCAGAGCTAGAGCCGGGGTTTTCCCTCTTGGAGGACTGAACAGTCAGATCAGAGTGGAGTGAGTGTGTGAGCAGGGTGGAGGGTCTGGATTAGAAGACAACACTCCTTTCACGGTGTCACGGAAGAGCCGGACAACAGCGGGTCTGGGACAATCCTAGAGCCCACAGCCCAGACAAAGAGAGCACTGTTCCCAGAGACCCACAGGAAACTGGCCCAGGGTTCAAGTAAGGGAACGGCAGGAGCGTTGCCTGCTGTGGCCGTCACTGGCTGTGAAGTGGTGAACGGAACCATCCAGTCCTGAGCTCTCTGCCGCAGGCCACAGCATGTCCGGATGTGGGGGGATGGGGAGGTGGGCTCGCCGTGGGAGATGTTGCTGCTCAGAGATTGTGGAGGGGGGTGGGGGCCCCAGGGGGGGCGGGTTGAGGTCAGCTCCTAGGATCCAGGATTAGGGGGGCATGAGAAGAGAAATGGGCTCGCCTGAGGCTGGGGGTGGGCTGGCGGGGGGGCGGTGGCCGACAGGCAAGCGTGAAGAACTTTGAAGTTGCAGACTTTGATTTCCTTGGCAGCTATGGCCGTGGGCACCGTGAGCAGCTGGACATGTGCTGCTGTGTCCTGAGTTGGGGGCGGGCGTGAGGCGGGATCTGACTCAGGGCACAGACGGGCTGAGGACTGGCCGGGATTGTGGAGAGGGACGGCCGCAGGAGAGGCACAGAGGAGCTCACCCGGAGTGTGGACCGAAAAGCAGATAAGGCCCACGCAGTAGTAGCTCAGCTCAGCGGGGAGGGCGCCTGCCTTGTACGTGGCAGACCCGGGTTCTACCCTTGGGGTCCCTTGAGCCTGCCAAGAGTGATTCCTGAGCGCAGAGCCAGGAGTTCGCCCTGAGCGTGGCTGGGTGTAGCCCAGAAACCAAAAGCAAATAAAACTTGATGTCCACAGGGAACAGATGCCTCGGCTTGTTGAGGTAACAAGTGAGTCTCAGCAGCCACAAACAAAGGGCTCCTTGGTCTTTGCCTGGATCCAGCCTCCGTGTCCGTCCTCCCTTTCGCCCGGTACTAAGGGTGCACCCTGCCCTGCACAGCCTCCTCGCATGTGCTTCCCCGGGTATTGCCTGGACCTCAGGGCCCGCGTTTACAGCATGACCCACCCCCCCACTTCCAAGCATCAACTTGTCCCTTGGAGGGCCAGTGACAAAGCTCGGTGGGAGGTGCAGGCCCCGCCTTCTGTGAGGCCCTGGCTTCAGTGGCCCGAGAAGCGAGAAGGCCAGTTGAAATGGGGACCGTCGGTGGCCTCGGCAAGGGCAACTCTTGTGCTCCTCCCCTGAGTCCAACACAAAGCTTAGCCTGGTAGGTGGGATTTGGGGGAAAGATGGTTCTTTAAAATTCCACAGTGGAGCGGCCCAAGAGGGTACTGCAGCCCAGGCGCTGCCTTGCACCCTTGTGGCCCAGGTGTGCGCCCAGGTTCCCAGGTGGTCCCCCTCAGGCACCGCCAGGAGTGGTTTCAGAGTGCAGAGCCAGGAGCCAGCCCTGCACATCCCCACAGAATCTACTCTCCTCAAAACATTTTCTTTTACAGAGAGCTTAAGTCTAGGGAGAGGCGTTTGTTTATTTATTTATTTATTTTTATTTTTATTAGTGAAACACCATGAGGTACAGTTGTAGACTTACAAATTTTGTGCTTGAGTTTCAATTATACAAGGATCAAGTACCCATCCCTCCACCAGTGCCCATTTCCCACCACCACGGATCCCAGTATCCCTCCCACCCCCCATTCCCCCATCCCACCCTGCCTCTGTGGCAGGGTATTCCCTTTTGTTCTCTCTCTCCTATTGGGTGTTGTGGTTTGCAAAAGAGGCATTGAGTGGCAGTCATGTTCGGTCTATAGTCTACTTTCAGCATGCATCTCTCATCCTGGGAGGATCCTCCCAACACCCTTTATTTGGTCCTCCCTTCTCTATCTGAGCTGCCTTTTCCCCTAGCATGTGTGGCTGGCCACCAAGCCATGGAGCAAAATTCCTGGTACTAATCTCGGCCATTCTTGGGTGTTTAGACTTTAATACAATGATCAAGTGCCCATCCATCCACCAGTGCCCATTCTCCACCACCATTAATCCCACTATCTAGGGAGAGGCATTTAGAAGCCCAAGTTCTTTTCTGGTCAGCAATGAACACGTTACATTATGGGAAGAATTTTTTTTTTAATTTTTTGCCATGAAAGCGTTTCTTGATTGTGTCCATTTCCTGTCCCTGGAGCTTGCTGGTTTGGGCCAGTCGGACTCCATTGCCTGTGTCTGTCGGTTCGCTTCCTCATAATGACACGGCCACTGTGGTTGTCACCTCCAGGTTCACGCGCAGTCACATGCTGAGACTTCCGCGCTTTCAGGGACCGAAGACCCGACAGCCGCTCCCCAGGAACCCAGTGCGGATTCTGCCAGCGATGACCCCGAGGGGGCCACCTCCGCCCCCCTGCCAGGTTCCCCATGTGATGAGCAGGAAGGCGCCAGTGCCCCCGATGGCAAGAACACTGGTCCTGCCCCCCAGCCAGAAGGTGGCCTCGGACCCGACCAGAAGCTGCCCACCTCTCTGGGGCACGCCAGCCGCTCCATGCAGTCTCCCAAAAAGCCGTTCAACAGCATCATGGAGCACTTGTCCGTGGTGTTCCCGGGCTACAGCTGGTAGGTGGCTCTGCTCAGCCCTTGGTGAATGTGAGGGCAGACGGCACTGTCCCCGCAAAGTTAGGGCTGATCAGGACTGCAGCAGAGAAACATGACAGAGTTGTCTTAAAATGTGGTGCCCAAAAGCACAGGGGACACATTTTTCTTTTTTGTTGTTTGTTTTTGAGTCACACCTGGCAGTGCTCAGGGCTTTCTCCTGGCTCGGTACTCAGGCATGTCTCCTGGTCGGGGCTTGGGGGACCTTGTAGGATGCCGGGGATCGAATCCAGGTGGGCCGCGTGCAAGGCCAACGCCCTTCCGATGTACTATGGCTTCAGTCCCTGGGGCCATGTTTCCTTTCTGGAAACGCAGAGAAGACTCTTAGCCTGTGTTTCTGTGCAGCCCAAAATGGAATCACTGAGCACAGAGGAGCCCTCAGCTCCTAAGAACCCTCAGCCATCTGCTGAGCGGTCAAGACCAGCAACAGTGACCCTCTTGATGGCAGATGCTGGCGCTTACACCTTTCTGGGGGAAGCACACCCACAGAGAAACCTCTGCCATCTGAGTGTTTAGGTGTGGGGCAGAAGGAAAGTGGTGGAATTTGTCAGGGCGTCAGGGGCCAATGTGTATAAGGGCTGCAAGCTGCGTTTTCCTGATTCAGCCAATGTTGTGTCTGGGAGCAGGCCCCTGAGTGCTGCTTGGGTGGGGGGACCCTCCAAGTTTTAGAAAATAAATATTTAGAAATAATCACATCTTCCTTATTAGCAACAGTGGGGCTTTTTTCTGCTTTTTTTCATGCAGTTTACATGAAACAGGTGACCTCTGGATTTGTTCTTTTTGCTTTGGGTTTTTTCTTGACACAAAATAGTGATTTGTGGGTCAGGAACAATAGCACAGCTTGTAGAACATTTGCCTTGCATGCCGCCAGCCCACGTTCAGTCCCCGCATCCCATAGGGTCCCCCCAGCACCGCCAGGAGTGATTCCTGAGTGCAGAGCCAGGAGTAACCTCTGAGCATCGCTGGGTGTGACACAAAAAAGAAAAAAAAAGAAGAGTAGTGATTCGTGGCAGAAAACTCACTTTCTCTCCTCTTCCCCTTGCAGCTCCGAGCTTGCTGGGTTTATGAAAAAAGTGCGAAGCAAAAATAAGAATGCACTGTCGGGACTGAGTATTGATGAGATTGTCCAGAAAGTGACTGACCACATTGTCGAGGAGCAGAAGAAGAACAAGGTCAGTCTCCACCCACGGGCATGCGAGGGGGGGCAGACGAGGTGCAGGCGAGAGGCAGTTGGCCACCTCCGGGTAACTGAACTCGTGTTCTCTGAATTCAGCCCAATCCAGGAAAGGACCAGAAGCCCATGGAGCCAGCCGCTGCTGCTGCTGCCACCGGCGCCGGAGCCTCAGCCAGACCCCAGGAGCAGAAGACAGACATGCCGGTGAGAGCTGGCGTCCGGAGTGGCAGCTTTTCTGCCCCTGTACAAGGAGGCCAGCTGTCTTCTCGTGGCTTAGTTGCTTTTTATTTTTATTTTATTTTTCTTTTTGGGTCACACCCAGCGATGCACAGGGAGGGGTTACTCCTTGGCTCGTGCGCTCAGGAGTTACTCCTGGTGGTGCTCAGGGGATGATATGGGATACTGGGAATTGAACCCAGGTCTGCCGTGTGCAAGGCAAACGCCCTACCTGCTGTGCTATCGCTCCAGCCCCTCTTCTTTTTTATTTTTAAGCTGAATGAATTTCTTCTTAAAGTTAGAGACAGAGGGGCCCTTCGGTGGTCGGAGGGCTGGAACCCAGGCTTGGCTAGCGGCCCAGGGACTGCTTGCTGTTACCCACCACCTCCCAGGGTCAGAAACAAATCCAGGTGTGCTGGGAACCTCAGTGACCATTGAGGTTACTATCTCTGCTTTTAGGGGTGTCTTGGGGTCATCCCCTTTGCCCTCCCTCAGTTCCTATAAGTGACACTTACACTCTGTTTTAGTGACCCAGTCCAGTTCTGACCTCACTGAGGGTAGCTGTCTGACTTTTTTGTTTAATTCTTTTTCTTTGCCATTCCAAGGCCTGACTTATGCAAAGTGCGTGGTGTTCCTAGAAACAGTGGTATCTTGGGGCAGGAGCCAAAACGGCTGGTGCCCCGTGCACCCCCGGGAATGACTCCTGAGCACTCTCAGGTGTGGCTTTAAAAAAAAGCCAATAGAAAAGGGGACTGGAGTGTTAGTGTAGCAGATGAACCACTTGCCTGGCGTGCGGCCTACCCGGTGGGGAACATAGAGGATGCTCGAGGTCAAGCCTAGGTCCGCTGCGTGCAAGGCCAGCGCCCTACCTGCTGTCCTGTGGATCCAGCCCTCTCCTCTTGAATGCAGTGCCATCATTTCTCCTTTTGGTATTTTTCAGTCTTAAGAAATGCTATTGAGGGGCTGGAGCGATAGCACTGCAGGTAGGGCGTTTGCCTTGCACGTGGCCGACCCCGGTTCGATTCACAGCATCCCATATGGTCCCCCAAGCACCGCCAGGAGTAATTCCTGAGTGCAGAGCCAGGAGGAACCCCTGTGCATCGCCGGATGTGACCCAAAAGGGAAAAAACAAAAAGAAAAAAGAAAAAAAAGAAATGCTATTGAAAGCCATAATGCCCAGAACGAAAGAGAGGAAATAAAGTGCCTGCCATGGAGACATACTGGAGGTGGGGGTGTGAAAGGAAGGAAACTTGGGGAAATTGGTGGTGGGGGTTTGAACACTGGTGAAGGGATGGGTGTTGGAGCACTGTATGACTGAAACACGATCATGAAGAACTTTGTTACTATCTCATGGCTATTTAATAATTTTTTTTAATGTTATTTAAAAACAACTGTCTGCTAAACTGTTAAAATAATCTACCAGTTACGAGGTGAAAATATCTGAAGGTTTCTTTAGGAAGAGCTTATTTAGTAAAAAAGGAATTCAGTTGTTTATACGTCTGGTTAATTCCGATGTTTATTTCCACAGAGTCTGTGTGCCAATGCCTGTGAAATATGCCATGAGGTGTTCAAGTCCAAGAACGTGCGTGTGCTTCGATGCGGACACAAGTTCCACAAAGGGGTGAGAAGTGGTCCGGCCTTTCTCTTTCCATGGCTTCTAACTGGGAGGTTAAAAGATTTTGGTTTTCGCTCAGTTGGGGGGTGAGTGGGGTTGGAGCCACACCTGGCGGTGCTCGGGGCTCCTTTTGGCTCTGGCCCTGAGATCGAACCCAGGACAGCCACGTGCAAGGCCGGAGCTGGACCCACTGTACTATTGCTCCAGCCCGTGGGAAGTGTTTTCAACATTCGAAGGGTCTTCTCCCCCCTAAACAGCGGTGCTGTTTTGTTTCCTAAGTCCATTTCCTTGTTAGCATCATACTGTTGTCCACTGTCTTGTCGGGTGCCGGGCTGAGAGAAGGGGAGATGCTTCTTGGGCTCAGCGGGCGGTCAGCAGTCTGCCCGCCATCTTCTCCCCCAAGAGCTACCTTGGTGCTCAAACTCAAAGCAGTTTTGGGCTTCACCTGCACTCGGCCTGGGGAAGCCTCATGTCCTTGGTGTTGGGCCATGACATCAGGCCCCACCAAACGCGGAGGTGCAGTCAGCCGCGTCTGCCCGGGGACGAAGCGCCCATGTGCTTCTCCAGCATCCTCCAACATCCGTCCTGTTCTTTGCAGTGTTTCAAGCAGTGGCTCCGAGGCCAGAGCAGCTGCCCGGTCTGCCTGAGCCAGGACCTCCAGTCGGAAGAGTAGGCTCCACCTTTTTGGAAGCGACCAGCCCATTCCAGACACGCCTCCTTCCTGCCACCCTTGACCCAGGAGTAGTTGACCGGTTAGTTGGATGGGAAGAATCACAGGACCACCCTCCCTTTGGCAAACATTTGCGGGGTTTCCGCCCCGGCTACCCATGTCACAAGCGGAAATCCTCGCGTCACTGTCAGTCATTCCCTCCCCTCTGATCATAGTGACAGTGGCCTGGAAAGTTCCATGCCGCCACATGCTCCATCGCTGGGGCGCCCCAGAGCCCCTTGAGATAGCCCCTCCAGCAGTACTCGGAGTACAAGCATTCTTGACCTACCCTGAGTCAGTATTCCGTAATATCCTGACATCACGTTCTTCAAAAACCCTGCATTTCAGGAGCCGGACAGACCGTACAGTGGGTAGGGCGCTTGCCTTGCACGCGGCCAACCCCAATTTGATCCCCCGGCATCCCATATGGTCCCCTGAGCCCACCTGGAGTGATCCCTGAGTGCAGTCAGTGCAAAGTAAGCTTTGAGCGTACCAGGTGTGGCCCGAAAACAAAAAAAAATACACATTTCAGTGATGGACTTAAGGGACTAGAGGTGACTTAAGTCATAGAAATCGCATGTGAAGCCCTGGGTTCCATCCCCAGCACCACATGGCCCTTAGCACTGCTGGGAATGCCCCTCCCACCCCCCCAACAATGGCCAAAAACAATGAGCTTAGACAAATCACATTCTAATTTTAATAATTTGTAGTTAATATCAAAACATTGGCTGGTTTAGATCAAAAGAGTCAAATCTCTGAAACGTGATTTTTTTTTAAATTTTTTTCCCTTTTGTTACTTCTTATTTTTTTTTTTAATTTCCCCTCACTAGTCTTATAAAAGCGCTTATTCTTCCTCTTTTAACACTAGATGCTGATATCTGAAACTCTATTATTAAGACATTTTATGAGTACGCTATCGCGCCCCTTTGATACCTTCCTGCCCCGAGTGATTTCTCCCCTCCTGAGGTAGACGGTAGTGTCGGGTGTCTCTGCCGAACACACGGAGAGCAGCTCCTGGGAAACGGTCCCCTTCCCCCCCGCCACCAAAAAAGAGACCCTAGTGTCATGCAACAGTCCCGCGGTGTCCCCGTTGCCGTCGTCCGTGTTTGGTGTGTGTGAAGTGCTGCATGCAGTCCTGTGCGTGCCCGGGAACCCCGCTTTCGTGGGTGAGAAACTTCCAACCCGAGCTCTCTGCTTTGCGTGAGCTATCGCCAGTGCTGAGCGGAGAAACGCGAATACCGGACACATTCCATTTCTCTCCATCAGAGAATCAAAAAGTCCTCTCCCGTGTGTTCATTGTTTCCCCTGAGACACCCCTCCCCCCCCCGCCCCAGCCCTGTACCCCCAAGTCCCCGATCCCAAGCCCGCCCAGTCCCCGCCCTCTGCCTTGGCTTCCGTGAGTTGTGATGTCTTTGTGACCTAGTCCGTAGGAACTCACTTCTTAGCGTGCAGTGGATTCTCCCCCCGAGTCCCTAAAATCGTGACCTGCATGTTCGTGACAACAGAGAACTGTAGTGGGGAAAGTTCCGAGGGACCAGAGTCCCTCTGCAGCGCGCACCCGAGGACACAGTGAACCCAGCGCGGGGACGGGCTTCTGCCTAACGCAAGTGCTTGTGAACACGCCTTACACTTGTCTAGTCCGTGTCACAGTAAAGAGTCTTCTCAAATAACAGCTGCCTCCTGTCATGTGTGTCCCTTCGCTCGAAAATCGGGGGGGGGGGGGACGGGGGGTCTTGCTGACAGTCCCATGGAGGCGCCCTGGGGAAGGGAAGCCTCTGGCGTCTGAGGAGTCCAGCTCGGTGGCTTTGGGCTTTTCAGTGCCAGGATCAGATTGTCCTTGGGGGGCTCAAGGACAGTTAGAGTTCAAGTTCACGGGAAGGGTCCTTTGACCCAGATGGTGCAAAGTGTATATTGGTTTAGGCCAAAGGGAGACATTTTTGTTAAATAACCAAGTTGGTTGAATTGTATCTTTTTTTTGGGGGGGGTCACACCTGGTGATGCATAGGGGTTACTCCTGGCTCTGCACTCAGAAATTACTCCAGGCAATATTCAGGGCACCTATGGGATGCGGGGGTTCGAACCCTGGGTCGGCCACGTGCAAGGCAAACACCCTCCCCGCTGTGCTATCATCACAAACCCCAACTGGAGTTTATCAAACGCTACTTGAGATACTGTATGATTGTGAGTTCTGGAGGCCGGTTGGTAGGTTTCCTTTCAGACTACCTGCCATGTCTGATGCACAGTAACAGGTAGCCGGAGGAAGCCGGGATTTCCACTGTAGGGGCAGTGTTTAGCTGAGAACATTGTAGAAGCCAGAGCAGGGACTGTTGCTAAGCGCCTGCATCATTTTCTCTGACACGAAAGTGGCTCTGATTCTGAGGCTCCATTCCCCTGCCCTGCTACCTCTGGGTCGGTGCAGTTCCCCTCTGGGGGCAGCCCCATCCCCCTGCGCTGCTGCCTCTGAATTGGTGCAGTTCCCTCTGGGGTGGGAGTGTCCACGTGGGGAAATCCTGGGCTTGGGCCAAGGAGGCGAGTGGCAGAGTGAGGGGCTCAGTGTGGCTCCCCGAGGTAGCGTTTCTGTCCTTGAATCTCTATGGAGAAATTCTCGAAGGGATGCAGGTCACGGGGACAAGAGCAAAGGTGAAAATTCTTCTATCACGGGGCACTGCTTAATGGATGAGGCTGACAGGGCAGTGACAGGGATGGGGCATCTGGGCGTCGTCACTGCTGCCTTCACAACAGAAGCTTCAACCAGTCATCTTGGGGCATTTAGAGCCCAGGTCAGTTTCCCTTCGTGCCTAAAGGAAGGTGATCATTGCTGCTGATCCTGGATTTAATCTCGACACCATATAGGGTCCCCCTCATCTCCCCAGGGAAGAGTGACCCTGAGCATTGCCGGGAGTGGCCCCAAAACAAGAAGAAAGTTTTTGACGGTGTATTGCATGGGACTTGAGTGCATGAAGCCTGCATCGGAGCCTGGAAGCTGCCGAGAAAGCCTTGTTAAATTACCAAGTGGTTTTCCTCAGCTGTGATCTTTTTTTTTTTTTCTTTTTGGGTCACACCTGGTGTTGCACAGGGGTTCCGCCTGGCTCTGCACTCAGGAATTACTCCTGGCGGTGCTCGGGACCATATGGGATGCTGGGAATCGAACCCAGGTTGGCCTGGGTGCAAGGCAAATGCCATATCCGCTGTGCTTTCTCTCCAGGCCCTGGACTGTGATCTAAAGCAAGACAAAAACCAAATCTCCTCTTTGGAAAACACCAGCATTGTGGGTCCAGAAGCTCCTGGTACTGAGTATCGGAGACTTTGAATTCCTTCCATGCAGCACCTCAGGGGCTTGCTGGAGGGGACTCAGGCCTGCCTGGGCACATAATGATATGAGACCCCACACCCCCAGGGAGGTTGAGAACTTCTCATTCTCTCCCTCATCATTTCCAGTGTCTGTTTCACCCCTTTCCCTTTAAATGGAAAACGGGCTGGAGCAATAGCACAGCGGGTAGGGCGTTTGTTTTGCAAGCGGCCGACCCGGGTTTGATTCCTAGCATCCCATACGGTTCCCTGAGCACGGCCAGCAGTAACTCCTGAGTGCAGAGCCAGGAGTAACCCCTGTGCATTGCTGGGTGTGACCCAAAAAGCAAGAAAATAAATAAATGGAAAACAACAGATCTTCGATACTGCGTTCAGAAATCAGAAGAACACAACTGTATTGATGACTTCCGATAACAAGGGGTTTTCGCCACATTGAGTATATTTGAGGATACTAATACCATATGATACTATGTGGTATTATGTGGTCACAGTTAGGACATTTTAAGTGGTACAGTTGTAGACATCCTGGCTTGGGATAAGCGGTTTTTTTTTTTTTTTCTTTTTGGGTCATACCCGGTGGTGCTCAGGGATTACTCCTGGCTTTGCACTCAGGAATTACTCCTGGCGGTGCTCAGAGGACCATATGGAATGCTGGGATTTGAACCTGGGTCGGCTGCGTGCAAGGCAAACGTCCTACCCGCCATGCTATCACTCCAGCCCCAAGCGGGTATTTATTTATTAAGGCACAGAAGCATTCACCATAAGGATAAACTAAAAAGTCAAATTCCATGACAATCAAGAACTGTCACATTTAACACTGAGCAAAAATACAAGAAGCAGGGCCAAAGAGTGTTGCAGAGGTTCGGGTGTTTGCCTTACACTTGGTCAGCTCCAGCTGGATGTCTGGCGGCGTATACAGCCCCCAAGCACCACCAGGAGTGAGATGCCTTGGACAGAGCCGGCTGTAGCTCAACCCCTGACCCCCTCCCCAAAGCAAGACATAAACTGCAAGAAAGTACTCACAATAAAGGTCTCCAGAAAACACTTTTTCATAATGAGTTCAAAGTTACATATTTCGGAATGATAAAAGTAGAAACTTGACAAATACTTAGATATTTTTTCAGCGTTTTGATACCGTAGATGTCCACAATCCATCATCGGAGAAATGCAGATTTAATCCATCTAGATCCTCCACAGACTGACCGTGAACTGTTGGGGTGTGGAGTGGGCTTCGACCCGGGCTCCCTGTGGAGGTGGAAGCTGATCCCAGCAGGTTAACTGCTGACCAGAGTGCTCGAACCCAAGACCACTTAAATGCAGGCGTCGGTATTGGTGTCTCCATAGCCCCCACAGAGAAGTGACTGAACGCTCGTCAGCAGTAGGTGGACAGTCTGTTCCATTTTCGCCGTGGACACTGACCGCCACGGGAGGGAACGGCCACTCCACTGCGGGCAAGACAAAATCCAGGCTCGTGTCAGTTTCAAAAGCAGAACGTGGCCAGCAGGGGAGGCCTCAAGGTTATCTGTGGGGTCATGCTAGCTGCAGACACAGTGGGCTGTGGGAACCTTGGGTACCTGAGTGGCGCTTACCTAAATCCATTGGGAGGTATGTGCCGGTCACAGCGGGTGCCTTTGGGGACACAGCCTGGGCTGGAGCATCTGCCTAGCTGT